ATATCTTCCTATGGAGACGTTAAGAAATGTTTTACAACTGTTTACACACACACGCACGCACACACTGTTTAAAGTGTTTAACAAAGGTAGAACAATATTTGCAAGTCCAAGGTCAAATTGTGATCACAGCTCATACAATTTTGTTTATTTTACTTGTCAATACTGGTGTTTATGAATCATGATTGGACAAAGTTTTTAAAAACAAAAGATGTGCCTTTTATATATAAAACCTCTGTTATGTTAATTTTGATTAATTTCCCTGAAGAAGTTCGGACCACATTGCCGAACGAAACGTTGGAATTACTCATTTCAATATTGCTGAGATATTACAAATAAAATTTGTTACGAATGTCTACTTCTCATTCGGCGCCCAAATATTTTAGAATTATTCGGTCAAATCTTGACGACAGTTCATTTGAATGGATTGAAGTTGTTTCGCCTTAGGAACTTTTCCCTCCTAATTTGAAGTTATACTTATCCGCGAATTCAACATTGAAGGAAGCAGATATAGAGAATTTTGTCTTTCCCTTTGACTGATTTCACTGAAATGTTCGGCATGTTAGACGCTTCAACCCAAGTGGTCTAGTGGATAAGGATTCGGCGTTTGAAACAATGAGTGAACATCCTTACTCACTGGGTAGTGCAGGCACACCCAGGTGACAAGTTTCAGATAAGGTAGGATCCGCATTCTGGTAGTCACCATCCACCAAATAAAAAGTAGATATAGCATTCAAGAAGAAAGTTAATTTCCTCAAAGTCGTGATGGTTAATGCTCAGGAAACTGAAGTCAACTAAGACCAGATATTGAAGTAACTTTGAACATCTAACACATACGTACTCACAGTTCTTTCTGAAATAAAAGAAAAACTTTGCGAAATTTACCTGCTGGATCAGTTTGAGTTTAATTTTAATATTCCCACTATGAAAATTAAAGCGTACAATATAAGCAGATATCTGTTTTCTGTTATTTCTCATGGGGAATTACAACTACATAATAAATTAATTATTCATTGATATTTGAAACCAAAATATGGTCAACTGAATTAAAGTTCAGGTATATGAATTTAGTTTTGACGATATTAGATGGTTGGAGGCAATCGTCAGGTAGCCTTGGACACCACCTAGGTTTCGTGCTAGTTGGCACTCACCAGTCAGCAAGGTGTATCTGCAACTGCCTTGAAGGAACCCATGTCCCTTCTGAGATTCGAACCCGCGTCAACCAGTGCTGCAGTCAGAGACGTTACCACTGAGCTATTCGGGCTCGCAATCGACCTCCCGTAGGACTGTAGTGGAGACTTTCATTGGACACTAGTAACTAGTGTGATGTGTCTAGTCCTTTCTTTGGTGCCGACTGAATTCTCTCAGTCAGGTTTGCAATGTGGCCGCCATTCTAGGTAGCTTGCCATCACGGTGCACACTGATTTGCTGATATTAGATGGTTAGAGGTAATCGGCAGGAAGCCTTGGACCTAGGTTTAGTGAATAATAATCGAAATGATTGATAAGAATAATCCTAATAAGGATAAATTCAAGCAAGTATCTATATAATTGAATGAATTTGTCCCTGTTATTATTATTATTAGTAGTAGTATTACTGCTATAAGACACGTATCTGCTTAATTTGTGTCCTCCAATTAGAGATTCTTATTAATTTCGATGGAAGCAAATGCTAAACTTCTAGTTTTACTACTTTTTTGCATATTCTTCTTGCTTACGCTTCATATTTTGTCTTTACTCAGTAGCTTTAACTATAGTCCAGTTAAATGTTAACGACTTGATAATAGTTGTATAGGATTTATATGTTACGAAAGTAAGTTAAATATGATCAACTTTCATTTCTCTATGGACGTTTAGTTTAGTGATGTAGTTCCTCTATTTCTAATTGTCCATTACCGCCTTTTACGGTTGAATTAATCAGCTCTTTTCAACATGTCTCACCTTTCATTTATTCAAATGCCTTGTGATATTGATCTCATTAGTAGAAAACTAAGTCACTGTTGAGCCACCTGAAAATGACTGTATGGAACTGAGTGAAAGGAGATATGCTGATGAATACCTATGTTCCACTTGATATGCAAGAGAATTATCATAACAAAAAATAATAAGTTAACCTAGTGTTCAACAGGGTAAAATTCATGTTCGATGATTATTATTATTATTCCCTTGCGTTCCGAGTGGAACATAGGGCTTTAACAACACATCTCCACTTTGTTCTGTTTTCTGCCATCCCCTTCAGCTGGGTTCACGATTGACCAAACTCTGTCATCTCTTCCTCACACGATCTCCTCCATGTCACCCTAGCACCGAAGACCCACTCGTCGCTTCCCATTTGGATTCCAGTCGAGTGATGGCCTGACGTGTGATGTCATTCGGCGGCCTCTTCATTGTATGCCTGATCCATCTCCACTTTCTCCTACATATTTGTTGAACGATTGGCTCTTCACTGGTATGTTCCCATAGTTTCTTGTTGGAGATGATGATGATAACTGTCATGAACTACAATTTTTACTATTTAGTAAATTTACTAATAATGCTAATGTGCGAGAGAAAATAAGGTACTAAACATTCTATTCAGTAGTGCGTGAGACGAAATATAGTGTTTTAAAATTTTCTTTTTTGAGGTTATAAAGACACTTAAATATGGGATAAATTGTGAGAAATTCATAGAAAATTTATGTATATATATATATATAACATCTGTGAAAAGTACTTTCTTGAGAAATATTCATGGTGGGATATGGAAATGAGGTCAACAGCGTGAGTTTTCTTCAGGTGGCACTTTCCATAATCCATTGAGTACTGTTTATTCAGATGAAAACTACAGCCACTTCAAATCGCTTAGAAAAACCCTAAGCTGCCTAACTGCAATGAATACCTTCAGTGCTCGTTATTTTTTATTGTAGTTGGACCAATTGCAGTGCTGGTTATTTTCAAGCAAATTGCAATCGTCTATGATATTTGGAGTATTCGGTACCTAGAAGCTTTTGGCAATTTGTTTGGTACCCAAAAGATGATAGAAAAAGACTTTTCATTTCTAGCTTTGTAGCCTATTTGGACAAGGTAGTCTAATATGGGACTGTTTATGATTTTTATTACTCATTTATTTAGGTGTACTGGTAGGTGTTTCGGAACATAAAAAATCAAGTTCCTACAGCAACAGGAAAATAGGAGCCTAACTATTCAATTAGGAAATTGTGAATATTTTTTAGATAGTGTGTCTCGGTAATGATTTGTCCTGACATTTGGGAAGTCGTCTGTATGTGTGATTTATGGATTGGGAGATTCCAGGTTATTGTAATCCGTAAATTTCCATTTGTTATAGATGCAAAGGTGTGAAATGAAATTTCCTCGTTTCGCTTATGTTTAGTTGAAATAGACATATATAGTTTTAAATTAAGCTACATGCATATAACGTTTAACACAGTACCACTAGTGCTGACCTACCAGAAAGTAATCTGGAGTTTATATCCTATTCCAGCTTATATTTTTCTATGACACTATTTCAGTACTGTATGACATAAGATAGAACTTTACTTCTACACTGCATTTAAACTGGTACTATTATATTATCCAGTGATCTGTTTTATACTCCCGTCAGAGTATTTATATCTTTATCTGAAAACGACTTTAGTCAGTGCAGAATATGTTTTTTATATTTTAACCCTGAAAAATTTAATTTCAGGTAATCGTTAGAGCTTTTATGTTTGACAACAAGTATAGCGGTGATAAGGCAGAAATCTTATCTACCATATATATATATATATATATATATATATAAATTAGTTAAATAGTTAATTAAATAGTTAGGCTCCTATTTTCCTGTTGCTGTAGGAACTTGATTTTTTATGTTCCGAAACACCTACCAGTACACCTAAATAAATGAGTCATAAAAATCATAAACAGTCCCATATTAGACTACCTTGTCCAAATAGGCTACGAAGCTAGAAATGAAAAGTCTTTTTCTATCATCTATTGGGTACCAAACAAATTGCCAAAAGCTTCTAGGTACCGAATACTCCAAATATCATAGACGATTGCAATTTGCTTGAAAATAACCAGCACTGCAATTGGTCCAACTACAATAAAAAATAACGAGCACTGAAGGTATTCATTGCAGTTAGGCAGCTTAGGGTTTTTCTAAGCGATTTGAAGTGGCTGTAGTTTTCATCTGAATAAACAGTACTCAATGGATTATGGAAAGTGCCACCTGAAGAAAACTCACGCTGTTGACCTCATTTCCATATCCCACCATGAATATTTCTCAAGAAAGTACTTTTCACAGATGTATTATATATATATATATATATACATAAATTTTCTATGAATTTCTCACAATTTATCCCATATTTAAGTGTCTTTATAACCTCAAAAAAGAAAATTTTAAAACACTATATTTCGTCTCACGCACTACTGAATAGAATGTTTAGTACCTTATTTTCTCTCGCACATTAGCATTATTAGTAAATTTACTAAATAGTAAAAATTGTAGTTCATGACAGTTATCATCATCATCTCCAACAAGAAACTATGGGAACATACCAGTGAAGAGCCAATCGTTCAACAAATATGTAGGAGAAAGTGGAGATGGATCAGGCATACAATGGAGAGGCCGCCGAATGACATCACACGTCAGGCCATCACTCGACTGGAATCCAAATGGGAAGCGACGAGTGGGTCTTCGGTGCTAGGGTGACATGGAGGAGATCGTGTGAGGAAGAGATGACAGAGTTTGGTCAATCGTGAACCCAGCTGAAGGGGACGGCAGAAAACAGAACAAAGTGGAGAATTCTTTAATTGCCATTTAATTGTTTGAACTAATCAAATGAGTGTTATCTAAACAGCAATAATTTCAAATTTCATCAAAATAATTGAAACACTTCAGACTTCGATTGACATATACCTAGAAATTAATACATTTCACCTGTCAGTAAATTCATCCATTATTTCAAAATCACCATGTTCCCTTTCTTTTTCTAATCAGCTAAACTTGAAATGAGTTGCATGTATAAAGGCCAAGCTACACTTCACCCATTCGCCTACGGTGTTCATACACACAGCCATGGTGAGTAAATGATTAATTTGTGAAGTCATTTATTTTATTTTATTGAACAAAGCAAGAATGAAACCGTATCAGGATAATATGAGCTCATGTTTTACTATTCCGAGGATTCTTCTTAACGGACTACAACCTGAACAATACGTTATTTTTTATGCACTTAATCATTTACAATTAAATCGATTCGGAACAACAGTTTTATATGAACTTCACATAACCTAGAGTAAATAGCCACACGATTCTTTTCATCCATAATCCTTATTTTCATAAGATTTATTCTTTAGAAGCTCAGTTTATAAAAACAGAGATGCTTGTGTGTTATTGGAAAATTACGTTGTAAACTTTCCATTGCATATTCACAGATATCACCCTTTGTATTAAGATATTCAACTGCCAACAGATCAGTTTTTAAGTTACCGACGAAATCATTGAGAACATCAGTTTACAGCTTCACTAACATACTGTCAAAATAACTGAAAAATACCCAGTTTAAGTTTTCCATAAACTGATGAGTTGTGCAAGGATTTCCTTAGACCTAAATTATGTTGACATGCAGAGATGAATACTAACTACTCGCTTGTTGTCCCCACAGTACTGGAAAATCCCAACAGAAGGTCAGAAAGGCAGAGCTGTTTGCTCTAGAAAAAAAGACATTTTCTGATAATATAACTATGTATACAGTTGTCTCACAGTATTATCAACTGCGAAGTTAGATTTATGGAGATTTGTTAACAGTACACTAATAAAATTGGTTTGAAACTTGCGAAAAGGATACTGAGCAATGATAAGATTTTCAGTCTGTTTCACAGCCCCCTATGTTTAATTTTTTTCTTGCCAATTAGTGTTTTCACATGGAGGACTACCACAAGATACTGTAGTTTGGAGTTTTCAGCGTTTCCATCTTTTAAGGAATTTTATGAGCGCTGTTTCACCTACTAATATATAATAAAGTAGTAAATATCACCATAGAAAAAATATTTAGCTCTGTGGTCGCATGTGATTTTCTCAGTTTACCAAGTAGCATAGAATGTATAGACCCTTATTTCGTATATTAGTTGATACTTAAATCAGTTCAGCTGCACTGAAAGATATTCGCTTTCAGGTATAGACCTTCTACTTTTGAGAATGCTTAGCGTCGCGATGAATTCCTCAGTCATAATTCCATTCTTTTGTTTTTGGATCTTATGGAGTTTCTCCAAATACATGATCTTACCTAATGATTTTTCCAAAGTTTGATTCTTATCAGTCGACATTGACAAGGAGATGTCTGTGATTCGGCAGCTTTGTCAGTGGATTTTTCTATTACTGGCATTTCTGATCAACTGTAGAGGTTGTTTCTGGAAATTTTCATGGTTCTGTTGCCACTATTATTTTCCCATTTAATTTATATAACACTGCGTCGATGCATCTTCTAAGGACCATGCTTAACAATTTATTCATTGTGTTTAGTATTGGAAGCAGGCCTCAAAAATCTACCGAAATACATGATATTAACTACTATTTAAACCGGTTTAAGAAAATTAGTCACATAATTTTTTAAGTCCACTTTTTCAACTGTCTTTACAGTTGCAATTATTTTTGGCCATTTTTTAATTTGATGACGGCTGATTCCGTTATTGTTTACATGCTTTCTTTCAACTAGGCGTTTTGAATGAAGGATACGTTCTTGAGGACAAAAATAAATATTTGATTGGATCCAAATCACCACAAGTTCCTCAGGTGAGCAATGAAACAATTGTATTCCATTCACATTTCATTTAAAGACTGTACAAACGTCGTTATATTCAGGAATAAAATAATGACTAAATATGGCGCTGAAGATGTTGTCCAGAAGGACGACGAAAGCTTCGAAACTAAACCAACCAGCTCAGAGAACACTATTAATTGCAAATGACTACATGTGCTGAATACTAACTCTGACGATAAAACAGTTATACAGTCCTACCCATTATCCTGGCTGCTAGAACACTTTACATCTGATTGCCATTATGAAATTGTTCCTCATACTGAATGACATGAATAAAAAGTTGGGCCTAATTTACAGGAAATTTTTAAGAAATAAGTTAACTGAACAGAGATTTAAGCAACAATTCAAGTAACTCATATCACTGTCACAAGATAATTTCGGCTGGGAAACTTCGGGAAACAAGAAGAGCCATGAATAACAGTTCCATTTTCATCGACAAGTATGAAAAAATTTCCATGTTATGTAGATTAAAAAGACACAGTTTAGCAAACAGTTTATTCTTTTCTTAGCTTCACTTTAAAGCCGTACAGAGATACAATATTCTGAAAGGTCACAGAAACATCTATGAAGGTCGTCTGTCTAGATCATTTGGTAATAAAACACGGAACTACATAGGAAGCGCTATTATGAGTAGATTACGTACCTTCATCAACTCTGATAAGACCTCCGATAGCATTGACTGTGAAGTAATTGTGAAACCATATCAACACTGAAAAGTGATGCAAACCTTTGTCAACCTTATTCAGCAGCTATATCAATGTGTCGCATGTCATGGGACCTACAAAGGAAAACTCAGCGAAACCTTTTAAGTGAAAACAGGAGTAAGACGAGGCTGCCCACTACTGTCACCGAGGATATTTTTAATTTTGGTTGACTGGATTATGCGTCAGACTAAAGGGAGTGAGAAAACAGGAATACGTTGGACCGATAAGAAGAGACCTCGCAACACTCTACCAAACAACTAGGTACCTATTGGGCGAAAGTTTGACACAAATTAAGCCGGTGAAGGATGACAATGCAATGTCAATCACCAAAGAAGTGGAGCAAAGGAAACACTGGACTGAACACTTCGAAAGACTTCTAAATCGACCACCACCAACAACGCGCCCAACAATACCAACGACGGAGAAAGAGCTACCAGTGAACACCGACCCCCCGACGAAATCAGAAGTCCTGAAGTCAATAAAGATGCTAAAACCTGGAAAGGCAGCAGGATCAGATGAAATCCCAGCAGAAGCGTTGAAAATGGACCCAGAGACAACAGCGGACTTGATGACGCCACTACTGGAGAAGGTGTGGAAAGAAGGCAAAGTACTTGTAGATAAGAAGAAAGGGTACTTATTCAAACTACCAAAGAAAGGAGACTTAAGTCAATGCAAGAGCTGGCGCGGAATTATGCTCCTGTCCATCCCAAGCAAAATACTAGGCCACATCATCCTGGAGAGAATCAAACATGCCCTGGATGAAAACTTCGACCGGAACAGCCTGGATTCAGGAGAAACAAGTCATGGATTGATCAGATTGCCGCATTACGGATCATCATTGAACAAAGCCTGGAATGGAAGTCACCTCTCTATCTCAACTTCATCGACATTGAAAAGGCCTTTGACAGCGTCGATCGAGAGGTGCTTTGGAAACTACTTCGCTACTACGGGCTGCCACCGACAATTATACAGCTCATCCAACAGCTATACGACAATGCTGCATGCCAAGTAATCCACAACGGGAAACTTACGGAATCCTTCGAAGTGAAGACGGGAGTAAGACAAGCTGGCTGCTTACTATCGCCAATGATTTTCCTGATTGCAGTAGACTGGATAATGCGACAAACAGCGGGAAATGAGGAAATAGGTATAAAATGGACTCACACAAAAAACTTGGAGGATCTGGACTTCGCCGATGATATATGTCTGATTTCCCACACACTGGAAGATATGCAAGCGAAAAGCAACAAGTTGGCAGAAGAAGCATCCAGAGAAGATAGGACTTCAGGTAAACATAGAGAAAACAGAGGTAATGAAGATTCATGGACAAGAACAACAACAACAGACAACGATCAGCATAAATGGGAGGAATCTGAAAGAAACAACCTCCTTTACCTACCTGGGAAGCATCGTTTCAACTACAGGCCGACGGAACTGACGAGGATATCAAAGCAAGAATCGATCAGAAAAGCAAGACAAGCTTTCACTACTCTCAAGTCTGTGTGGAGGTCAACAGCACTCAGCATCAAAAATAAGATCCGGATTTTCAACTCCAATGTGAAGTCAGTGCTAATCACTATACAGATCAGAGGCTTGCACTGCGCGTCATAAAGAGCATCTCAAACAAACTACAGACCTTCATTAACAGTTGTCTTCGCTCAATACTCAAGATCAGATAGCTGGCCAGAAAAGATCAGCAACAGGGATCTCTGGGAGCAAACCAACCAGGAACCGATTTTGAAACCAATAGGCAGGAAGAAATGAAGATTGATTGGCCATACTCTGAGGAAACCATCAAGTGACATCACTAGACAAGCGATTGCCCGAGTGAAACCCGAAAGGGAATCGGCGAGTTGGTCGTCAGTGCAAGGGTAACTTGGAGGAGGTCATGTGAAGAGGAGATGAAAACGTGTGGGCAGACTTGGAGCCAGGTGAAGACTCTAGCAGAGAATCGAACGCACTGGAGACGCACGGCTGAAGCCCTATGTTCCTCTAGGAATTAAAGGAAACCATAATAATAATAAATAAGAAGACTCTATAATATTTGGACTTCGTAGGTTATTTATTCCTGATGTCGAACAAACTCGAAGACCTACAAGTGAAAACCAACGAACTGGTGGAAGAAGCAGCAAAAGAGGAGGTTGAGTGAGCATAGGAGAAATAGAGTTGATGAAGATAACCAACCAACAGCAACAACAACCAGCACCAATCACCATCGACGGGAGAAATTTGAGAGATGTCACTTCCTTTTCTCACTTAGGAAGCCTCGTCTCAATTGCAGGCATTCGGTACAGGTAAGGATATCAAAATCAGGATTGGAAAGGCAAGATAGATCTTCCTTACTCTCAAATCAGCATGAAAATTGACAACAGTCAGCACAAAGAACATGATTCAGACTTTTAACAGACTTTTAAGAACAGACTTTTAACAACAACAGCCATTCTTAGCTGGACACTGCTGATCAGATGACCAGAAAGAATTAGCGAAAAGGAACTCTTCGAAACAGATTAATCAAGAACCTAACGCTCAAAAAATATGAAGGAGAAGATGGAGCTGGATCGGACACACCTTAGAGAAACCGTTCAGACACATCATGAGTAGTGTGTACTGTCAAGGAGAACACGAATGAGAAAAGATGCGACAGTCTTTCGAGGGTGACGTGGAAGAGCTAGTATAACGAAAAGATGATAGGTTATGAGTAATTGTGAAGGTATTTAGAAAGGATTACAGAGAACAGGCTGAAATGAAGATGTTCTGCTAAAGCTCCATGTTCCATTCGGAAACCAAGGGAATAATAATCATAATAGTTTTACTTAATCTAAAAACACTAATTAATTCATATACAAACTGTTTAATGCGTGGCTGGAAAGTAGAAGAAAATGGCCCCAGTATTTGTCGTTCTATGAACTGAAAAGCTTTTTAAAACTGTAGTCTAGTAATTTAGTTTCCGGCTAAAAGTAGACAAAAACCAATATCTTCCAAATGGCAACTGATGAAGATAATTTTAGGATAGTTACACCAGACTACATGTGATATGACTTTCACAATCTGCTCTTATTATTATTATTCCCTTGGGTTTTGAGCTGAACATTGGACTTCAGAAGAAAGTCCCCACTTCACTATGTTTTCTGCAGTTCTCTTTAGCTGGCTGACTCTTATTTATAACAAGTTTGTAATGGTGATAATACTTTTCAATACCTAAAATATAGTAATAATTTCTTTACTTTTCCTTCTTATTTCAGATATTTTATCCAGTGGAGAACAAATCGCTTGAAATACATAATGGTGATAACATTGTATGTATAATTTTGCATAACATCATAACTCTTCTTCAAACATTTATTTATATTTTAGGCAGCAATGTGCATCATGAAAAATGATGAAGATAGAGTTATCCCAATGGGGTAAGCGTGAAGTTGATGCATAAATTCTTAGCAAAATATTGTTCAAAAAAAGCAAATGAACACAGATTTTTTCTCAAATGTATATATATATAGGCTTTATTCCACCTTCTCTTGAGATCCTAATCAGCACTTTAGGTAGGTAGGTAGGCAGGTAGTTATAAGAAATCTGTTATTATTGTTTCTCTTAGATTTCGTTTGTATACATTGATCGATTTATAGAGGAACTAAGTAGCTGAGCCTCTGATGGCTGTACTACCTATGAAATCTCATTTATCATAACTTGTTTTCGTGTGACTATTTGATTCTACCTAGCTGTGGTAACTTAACTGGATGTTACCTTTTTATAAGGTTTACCGAAAGACTGTTTATAGATTGGTTAATTCTAGAACTTAAACAGCTTTTGGTCAGTCTCTAGCATTTTCTGTTCAGTCTTTTGTTTCTGTTTCATTTCTTGACTAGTTCCCACCTCGAAAACTAACGAGCCATAATCTTGTCTCAATCTCAGTTTTACAATAGTTCGTAGTTTGTTTGTTCGGTTTTCATGATGCCTCTGTCGTCCATTAACTTGATCTCTTTTAGTTTATGTGATATTGAATCCTGTATGTCTGTTACCTGTTATTCATCATCTTCCACAAATTATTTTTTGTATCTTGAATTCACTTTCTGAAATGGTGATAATTTCTCAGTCAAATTCGTGTTCATCAATGTCTGCATACAGGGCAATAGATGAGTTCATATCGTGATGTTATTACTGTCATCTGATGTTTTTGGATAGTTTATGATTATGTGTAAGGCAAAAATAATGTTTAATAGAGAAAATACAATAATTATTAGGTAAAAGGCACCTTGCAATGATTTCATGGTGTGCAAATAACATCACCCATTCGGCATTTGAGGGAAAACAACAAGAAGCTCATCAGAGATACCTTTTTGGTGATTTCATCCCCAAAAGCTATACTGTAGCATTTTTATACATAAATCCAGGTAGTCACTATTATTTAATTCAACACAGTAATGAAGAGACGTCAAAGAAGATAGTAATTCTCAGCTTGATGTGAAGGCGTGCGGGTTTGAATATGAATCACAATGGGGCGTAGAAACAGAATTATATAGGATTAGAAAATAGTTGTGTAGTATGTAAAATGGTTTTTTGGCAAAGTGTGTAAATGGCGTGGGAGCAGTATGCGTAACCCAATTTGAAGAAATGAAGCCAATGGAAAGGGGATAACTAAGGAGATGAGCAGAACTAGATCTATGATAAATATAGAGGCTAAATTAGTTTCTTTTGAACACATCTCCGGCTCCTGAATGCATATAGTGGAGGCTTCTGAATTGTAAAGAAAACGGAAACGCACTGCAGCTAGTAGATTTTTGTCCGCTTTGTAAATCAGATCTAATAATGAGTCAATTGAGATTCTGTGGCATTTTTTGAAAAGGTTTCTAATTATAACGATTCTTCATAAATAAATCACTTCTTTTTGAACTGGTGATGCCTCACTGCAGTCATACTGGGTAGTTTTCTCTTTGTTGTCCTCCGTTTATTCAGTTCTCCTTGAAATTTCAACTCCTTTTCACGTTTCTTTTGTAATATTCCTTCTTTGAAAATATTACTCTGGTCAGTGTCTATATCTACTTACAAGTAGCACACACTGTGTGACTATATGACATATCCCTGTTTAAAGTAACGCCACCTTTATCTGGTGGGTATTAGGGCCTTTGAATAAAAAAGTGGCAGCCTGCTGAAATCACTGGTCTACCTAAGCTGTCTATTCATCAAAATGCATCATTTTTACTTCGTTGTTTTAATCTTCTGATTAATACAATGAGTCTCAATCTATATTGGCGCACAATTTCAAGTAAATTACTATCTGCTGCTAGGAGATTTTCAAGGAAATGGAGGAAAAACATTGTGGAGTAGCATTATAGCAAGCATAATTTGGTTAGAACAACATTGTTTCAGATGATACATTACAGATTATTTTATTTGAAGACTTGGCATAATGTGTAAACACCTCGCAATAGAACTCGCTGAAAATTCTATTTTGTGTATTAGCGTATTTCTCAGAATAAACCTATTATTAATAATAATATTATTATTAGATTTGACAGTGTGGAATATTCCCATATTATGAATTAAAAGTCAATCTGAACGAAGAATATTCTTTTCAATAATTTCTCTTCAGGTTCTTACAATTATAAAATATAATATTTGTTGTCGTTACAATAAAGGCCAGTTATACAGCGGATACATTTTTAACGTAGAATAACAGATTAGTTATGAGGTGTCAAAATAAATAGTCGTATTTGTGTGACAAACGTGCTAGGCTGAAATCGATTACAAAATATTGTAAAACGGGAGACAATGGTGGTGATTAGTCATAATAGATTTGTAGAGTGTGGAGTAGGAAAATTGATAAGTCAGTTCAAGGGTATAAAATGTATCTGGTGAGTGAGTCGCTAGTACAAAGTGGTCTGTGTTAAACAGGACATAGTAAAACTGCAATGAAAGGTTCATAATGAAATAACGAATATGTGAAATGAAACAGGTGGAGGCATATATTGAGAAAAGAAATAATATCACTAATAATAAGTCCGGATAGTACAAATGAAAATTCGATAGTATTGAGAGAATGTTTGCATGAAGGGCATAAATTATGACGAATAATAATAATATTAATAATAATAACAACTGTAATAATAATATTTGTAATAATAAGCAAAGGAAAAAACGAAGAGGGTTAAGGGGAAGGAGCACTCTTGGTGAGAAGAAGAATCATCAATCCAAGTTTGGCCAGGGTAGGAACAGCATCTGGACGTGTTCTTTTTGGATACAAAGTTCCGGTTTATTCGATCTTATTGCAACAGCTTCAGCTATGTGTAGGAGACGTAAGCGAACTGTACGTGATAACGACTTCGGAATTCGGTATATAACCCTGAAAGCTGTGTTGACATCGATATGATGTTCATTGGGACAGGATCGAGCTTTTTGTGCACTTAATTTCCCCCCTGCTGAACCAAGCTGGTAAATGTTCTCGAACCCGTAGACGAACCTGCCTAATCGTGAGCCCTATATAACTTGAACCACAGTAACAGTTGAAATGGTATATGCATGAAGAAGAGCTAAAGTTAGGTAAGACATTTTTGAGTTGCTGGGTGAACATTGGACGGCTACTGAAGGATAGACACAGACGTGCACAGTAGAAAGTTTTCTTGATCGCCCTGGTTAAACGTTGAACCTTGAACTGACTTGTCAATTTTCCTACTCCACACTCTACAAATCTATTATGACTAATCACCACCATTGTCTCCCGTTTTACAATATTTTGTAATCGATTTCAGCCTAGCACGTTTGTCACACAAATACGACTATTTATTTTGACACCCCATAACTAATCTGTTATTCTACGTTAAAAATGTATCCGCTGTATAACTGGCCTTTATTGTAACGACAACAAATATTATATTTTATAATTGTAAGAACCTGAAGAGAAATTATTGAAAAGAATATTCTTCGTTCAGATTGACTTTTATTATTATTAAATAAGACTAAATATACGAACATGATTTTATGAAAACTGAAGAACACACACTTAACTCTTTACCTTACTACATCCTTTAACCCATTACGTTGAACAGATATCAGTATCAAGCAACATTTTCTGATTGAAATAGTACAGCGAATGAAATGCAGTTCAAGAATATAATGCCAGTGATAATATATACATCAGAAAGTAATTTTTAATGTAGAGTTTCATTCAAGAAGCACACAAAAATACAACTTGTCATTAAACCACCATAGCAACAGGATACGACGCTGTCATTGACGGGGATACGTAATCAAGCCACTTGCACACAACGCAATACAAGTTATCTAAGATATTTATAAACAAATTAGTTGAAATATAATACCCCCTTTATTTGTTTTTCTTCTAACTACGTCAATTTATTCATATTACTGAACAATTTTAAAACAGAAGTACACGTCAGGATGAAATGTGCCAATTCTACGTGATGTACTGGGTTGATAAAGACAATGAGGATCAGCTGTATGATGAAAAAAATCAAATTTGCTATGTCGGTGACGAATCGGATATTGAGAATGAAATGAAAAATATGTGTAAGTTAAATTTTATTTATTAATAAACTTTTACTAGCATGTTTATAAATGACATCAAGGGAAATTATTTTTAACTTTTTTACTTGCTAAAGATGACAGGACAACCAAAGTGTACTTGCGATCGCCTTTTTTTCCTTCTTAGTGTTTCTTATTACAGTATATCCCAGTAATTGGTTTAACTTAAATCAGGTTACCAATAAATCTTTTCTTTTCACCACCGTCTACTATCAGTCACAATAGTGTTCAACTAACTAGTTATCTAATATTATGCAAAGGCAGTTTACTAATTCATAACTTCTATAGTTATGCGTAGTTCTCAGTAGAATGTTTTCCAGACACTTCACTTTTCTATTTTTCTGTTCAGCCTTCTCTTCTGATTGACTTCGCTATGCATAGTTAATTTTAACTGACTTACCTTGGAATAGCAAGTAATCATATCAAATCTGAAATTCTTCATACTTGAATATCTGTGTTGAGGTCAAGTGAATATTTCTTGAAGAGTAAAGAAGTCTTCACATCGTTGATCGCCTAAGTGATAAAACCTCAAAAATGCTATTTTCTGAAGTAATTATAGGCGGTTTTCATCAGGACGCATAAGATTGATGACAGTGATACCAGATGAATGCTCACAAGCAGCAATGAAAGATGATTGTTAGCTTTTTTTCATTACTCCGCGTAAAACAATATAATCATGGTATTATTAGATTATTATGAATAACTTAAGAATTATTCATTTATAAGTTCGTGATTTATTCATCAAACCATTAATTTGTATCATGACATTTATCGCGAAATCAGCGAACATTCATCATCAGCAGATTTATCTGCTGAAGAAACTGTGGCTTATACAGCGAAACGTTCAGAAAACAGATCTTGTTTTGATTTTCTTAACACGCTGGGATTAATTTAAATAATTTATAATGAATCAATCTGACTCGGTGCTCAAATTATTCCAGGAAGTTCGTAACACCTACGGTCTGGAAACTTATATTCATCACATAGTCTAATATTCATGCTATTAACGATGCCTTTAGATAGCACATCTTGAATTTTCAACAAACACTTTATTTCTTTTCCAAAGAGAAATGTTACTGTCATACACTCGATCCCCGACGGCGACAAGTCATACACTGTCTATTTGAAAAGTTATATGATTAAAATAATTATTATTTTATACATGCCAAGGTAGCATCCAAAAAATTCTGAATTTTAGCCAAAAATTTCAAATTATGTCATGAATAAAAAGGGATTTTCAGAGACATCACTTTCAAGCTGTACAATCTCATTAAATATATAGTACATTTCCACAGCAATAAAAGGAATGTTTCCAAAGATGTGTCGCTAACTTCGTAACATTTTGATAACAGTTACCCAATACAGAAACCATTATTCGGGTTGCAACTAAAATCAAATTTAATAAGTAAATTGGGTGATTTATTAGAACTAAGTAGAGCTCAGCTTCAACTGAAAACGAGTGAAGTTCATGTCAGTGCTGTAAGGAGTAGAAATGTAGTGGTGGGAAAGCAGAAATAATAATAAAACTTCAAAAAATTAATTAATGAGGATTAAAAAGATTATGTATCAAGTGCTAAGGTAAATTAAGTCCGTTGTAGGCCCAGCGACTGAATCAGTTTCTATATACAAAGTTCAGGAGTGACATATGGACTACCAAAGCTTTGACGGTTTGAAGAGGTTTGGTGTGTACGACAAGATTTCCGTGTACTCTGAATTTGGTTCGCGAGTTCTTTCGGTAATTTCACCTTCTTTCCATGTCTTTTAAAAAGATATTCGAATTGCACTTGTGATATAGGATGCAATACTGGAAAGTTGTTGATTAATTCCAGAAGTAACTAAATTTAACTGACATGTTAACTCATTACTTTATCATTATAATTATTTCAGAACAAATAACCATAAGAGGTATTAGTTTACAGTATATAAGTAAATTTGTTTGAAGTCTGTGCGGTAGTCAGAGTGTACTGGGAAACTTTAAAGTATTCATTGAAATCATTACTTCTCAATTTCCGGTTGGGTGATTATATTTAACTGAAATGCTAAGTCTCTGCTGATATGTTTTTAATTCCTTTACGTTCCCAGTGGAACATAGGGCTTCAAGCTACAGTTCTGAATTTTTGGTAGCAGTGGTATTCATTTTCACGGTATGGGGTTGATGGCCTCATACCCAACCTTCTCTCTGTACCAGTTTCATCATTGGTTTAACGAGGTAAAGGAGTGCGTCAGCCGAGAATCTAACCTCGGACCACCTGCGTGGTTGGCGAGCATTCTACCACTGTGCAACCGACGTACCTCTATTAATATATCGGCTCCAAACAGTGAAAAATGTAGAAACACTAAAGTATCTGATAAGACAGTTCTGAAATGAGGTGAAATCTTTCGTTGTGACCAGAAGATGTCAAAAGAAATTCAGCGGGAAGCTGGTGAACTAAAGTTGGTGCTAAACACACAGCTTCTAAAGTTTTATTTATAACTGTAACTAACTTTATTATTTACCAGTGGTGAAATAAATCACCAATTCAAGATAGATGATGGTATCTATCAGTAATAATTACACTAATTTAAAATATGCAAACCGAAAATTTAAAAAATCATTTTTAATATTCATCCAATGAATTCAGTTATTATTTGTTTAAGTGGAATAATAGATGCTGAAAATTTGCCCTTATTTCTTTTTACGAACTTATCATAAGTATGTAGAGTAAAAGTGCACCTTTAGAAGTTTTTCTACCTTTATTTCTAACTACCCGCTCTTTACATTTATACTTTTTGTTTTACTTTGGTGTTGTTGAGTCGAAGGTGTTGTCTAGGACTAAGATGAAATCATCTCAGTAAAACAGTTCAGCCAAGAGAAAGGGGAACCACACTAAAATCTCTCACTTTAGCAATAAATCTTCTCCATCATTTCACCTTATTACTTTTACTACACTAGTAAACTTGGTATTTATTATTATTCCCCTGATATTCGAGTGGAACATTGGCTTTCACCAACACATCCTCATTTCATACTATTCATGTCAGTAATTCTTAGCTTGCCCCCACGATTGTCCATAAGCTTTCCTGCCCTCCTAACACGATCTCTTCTATGTTACCCTCGCACCCATGCTCAACTCGCCGTTTCTCATTCGGGTTTCACAGAAGGGTCTGCATTGCGAATAACGTAACTCAACGATCTCCTCGGCATGTGTCTAATCCATCCTTATTTGTCGCGTTTCTTGCCAGAAGTCCTCGCTGCTAATCCTTTCCGTCCAGCCACTTGATCTTCACTAGGGAGTGATGGGAGCAGCTGTTGATAAAATTCTTCAGCAGCCTATTGGAAATGCTTTCAGTGGGGCGCTGAGTCTCAGAACCATATAGAAACACTGACTTTATATGAGTGTTTACTAACCGGTTGCTAAGTTCAGAAAATCAACCTAATCGCTACTGAAATTTCAAAGTAGAGAGAAGACATTTCAATAAAACATGGTCAAGATTTTAAATACTGAAATTCTAAATTTATACTCATTTAATGAAAGTACACCACAAATATTTAATAAATTTACTGAATAACTGACAAAAGAAGAAGAATATGTGTACAATACATTGCAGAATCTGAAGTCTGAAGTACTTTCCACATAATTTAACAGGTGTTCAGACAACAAGTAGATGAGTATAGTTTACAAATAATTAAGAAGGGTATACTCTGTTCAAAAACTAAGCCAGCAATTACTCCACGACTTCTTTTTGACAGGTATACTACTTGTAAACACATTTAAACAATGTATTGATAGTGTAGGTTGTCTACTTAACTTCCTCAGTTCCATGCTTTTTCTGCCGTTTAATGTTTGCACTTTTCTAAATTTATTAAATCTCTGGAAATTACCACTTTCATTTTGGGATATATGGTCCAACATTATTTTGTTGCAGCTTGTCCTAAATGATACTTTGTCAATTTTTTGAGTTCACAGTTATCAGTAAAAGTAATTTAGAAACGACTATTTGTGTCTATCGTCAATGTTAGAAAGGAATTTACCAATGTATCACGGAGTTATATCCCATCTTCGTTTGCTTCTCTAGTGTTATCCACAGATACAAGCAAAGTATGCTTCGTGGTAAACATTACATTATGGTAGTATACTGAATTAAACAAATAAAAACAAAAGAGCAGATTCTAGCAACATTTAGGGTATTTAAGAAGATTCTTTCAATGTTTCTACTGTTATCACTGTTTAAATCATATCAAATGTAACTCATTATTTGAAAAGTGATTAGTAGTTGAGTGTTATGATAATAATCTCTAGAAGAAACTTGCTTCTAATAAATATGATTGTTTTTAATCAATAAAATAACATGAAGTACTTTTAGGCGTCCTCTTTGTAAACATAATCAAATAGCCTAATTTAAAAAGTACTAATCACTTCAGGTAACGTTTTCTTATCTTTTTTATTAGATGAATTATCCATTTCACAATTCCCCTGGACAGATTTTGATTTTCAAGCTGAAGTAGACGATGAACCTTTATTTGAATTTAACTGATTTCATCAACTGACAACCGTTGATAGCATAAGATATACAAAAACGGTAACTCAGAGTTTTGCCAATTGAAAAGCTGCTATTAATTTCTGTGATGTGTCCATTTGTGTTTGTCTTTGCATTGGTCATATTTTGTATCGTTATTGTGAACATTTCTGTTGATTTATTTGTGCACATTTTTTGGCATTGTTTAACTTCTCTTTTGACTGGTTCTTCTTTGGAATTCCTTTTTATTTATTAACATTCTATAATTTAAGAGATTTGAGTTGGTTTTTTTGTTTCTATTAACAGTATTACTTAAATACATTACACTCATCCAACTGTTTTCTATTGCAAAAATATTTAAAACAAAGTTGTCTAATCTTTTGATTTAATGCTTTGTGAGGGTTGAGATGAAAGTTGAGTTTCATGAAATAAGTATATCATGAGTAGAGCATAAGTGATGACCAGAAGATAATTACTGTCATGATTTAAATCTGACGGTAGAGAGGAGGTTACTTTCCAAGATAAATGACTATTTCAGAAGAAGAAGAAGTCGTGTTTCGTGACTGTTTACCTACAGATCTAAAAGGGAAGTGTAACCCTACCAGCATCGAAAATTATATATTCACTTAAATTCAATACTTATCATTATTGTGAATATTTTGCTAGTAGCATGTCGCGTAAAACTTGATTTGTAGGGCATTCTATCTTTTCATTAACAATATCAGATCACGCGTAAATGTGTATCAGAAAGAAAATCAAAAAACGTAATTGTACCAAGAAAAAACAGCTGATGAGAGTACTAGTAAAAGCAGTTGTGAACTGAATGTAAGATTTGATATAAGAACAGAACCTGCGCCATGTAGTAGAGTATAATTCCAATAAATATTACTGCATAACACTGTGAAAGTTATGCAAATAAAATTTCCTCCATACTAAATGTAAAATAAACAAGAAAAATATTGAAACTGCAGAAAGCAGGACACGGAAGCCAAGGTATATTTCCAGGTGATCAAACAGCTATTTATATCTATACAGTTTATATTCTTCAACCAATCACTGTGCGTTTGATTTTAGTTTACATGAAATAGACTGTTCAAATATAAATAGTATTCTGTTGCTACTGTAGTACTGAACTGTGGGAATAGTATTCAGACGTCAACATCAAACAAATACAATGATTTTTTACCGTGAGAATAATATTCCATTGGAACACATTGTCTGTATCACACCACCACAATATGAAACAAAACTAATGACATAATCAAGATTTGGAAGGAATTTCCAAATCTTGATCAAAATGATCATTTGAAGTTCTGTCGTAAAAATTCGTAAACTACTGATCTAGTTCTGCATTTCAGACTCTAATTAAGCAACTCATATTTCCCTGACAATTCCAGCTAAAAGACATCTTACTTGTGTGTACTGAAAACATGTCTCAGTCCATCTACTGTTGACACATTTCATATATTTCTTTACCTGAACTAAAAGAGTGCATGTCAATGAAAGACGGCAGCCAGATAGAGCACATACTGTTTTCACAAAATGTATGAAAGATTTTAAACGAATAAGAGGATTTACTTATTTTACTGAATACTTTACTCATAACTTCCGCATAGCTTGAAATCTGGATCATACTTGACTCATGTTATGCACAAAAGAGTAATGAAATACCTTACACCTTATCAAATTTTCTTTGCACCTATATTAGGGCTTATGCGTAACGCATCTGGTTTCCAACTGAAAATGGAGGGCTAGGTCATTTCAGGAAATAAAATCTTCTGGCAGATACCAGTGTGTCTACTTTTATTTCTGCTTAAGTATTTTTACTTACTAACTCAGTCGTTTCGCTTTTGCAGTACATATACTAGAATTTTAAGGACACAGATACGATTAACATAGCTCCTGAGCTAGGAAAACACGCAAAACCATGAAGTGTTCTTTATTTCTCCCCCCCCCTCCATAAATAACTTTGTGTGGCCTAGGGTAGCTAGACTTCCGTCTTCCTCTCGAAACACTCTCATGTGGCCATGCGTTCATAGTCTCAGCCATGTAAGTCCTATTTACTACCTTCATGAGGTAGGTGAATGCGAACGTCTGGCGTTTGCAACCGGACTGGTGGACATGTATACAAAAACGGTGACTCTAAACTATAGCAGCCCAAAACGAAACTATTTAATAAGGGCCTTGAAAATTCTCCGTCGACTAATCAAATACGCCTGAAGTATAGGTGCCTAATTTAAAGAAACATTTATATTCAAGCAAAGCAATGTTAAAATGAAGTTATATACGATAATGTTCTTGTATGTGTTCCAAAAAAACATCCCAGTTTCCCGTAGCGGTCGTCATAATTAAGTTAAACCAATTTCTTCACATAAATTCGTCCAGATAGCTGTATACCATTGTATTTCTTGACTGATTCACAGCTGTGACCCTATTTTTAGGTGACTCCAGAAACTTTTGATGAAGTTATTGTGAGTTCCACCGAAAGGATTAATGAAATCGTACTTATTACTGACCACGTTGTGAAAATAGCTCAGGGATGACAGTTCGTTACACCTTCCAATGAGCTTGTTGTCTAAGCTGTACTTTAATACTAAATTTGGAAAAAATGTGTTACGCAATTTGTGTACAGAATTCATAATTCCCTCCGTATACCACAGACTTATCTGACTGGCTGCTCAAAGTCATTAATCTGTTCATTAGGTAGTTTCGTTTTGCGCTGTTGCAGTTTAGAGTCACCACAAAAAAACCAATCACATTCAGTGTCATAACGAGAGATGACTCTTAATCCCATGGGGAATTTCAAAAAACTACTTCAAACTGAAGTATGGCTCTGAGAATGTTGTTTATTAAGAAAACGAAAACTTCTCAACTGAACCATGCAACTGCGAGATCAATAATATGCCAAAATCGTCCACCTGAGCCACAGATTGTCTCCATTATTTCCATATTGAATCGCACATAGGTCGTTGAATCGCAAGGGGATTTTAAAGTACGCTTAAAAATTCCAATTCATCTGGTGTTTAATTCAACACGTACAATAAATTATCACCTTTCATTTTCAATAGGTTTTGCATTATCTTGAGAATATTAAATCTCATCAATCCAAAACTATTAGAAGTTCTTCGATGCTGCATTTTATGGACATTTTACTGATATATGACAAAAACACTGAAATGCTATGATGTAAAAATTTTAGGTAACTGTAATATATTGGCGAAATTCGCGCATAACTTCCAAAGCATTAACACTCTGAAGTATTGATATCTTATACAATTTGGCTAACTCCAAGTCAAAGTAGTGCACCAGTCGCAACTGTGACACGAAGTTTTAAGAACATTATTCAGTTAATCAGTACCAATCGCCATCTACGACAGAAATTTGAATGGAGTCCCTTCTCTCACCTACCTAGGCAGCTTCGTTTGAAATACACACGGCTAAATTGTAGTTTTTGTAGTACACAGAATATCGCCGTTTTCTTCTTTATCGTTGTTACACGCTGTCACCATGAGTAGATATGTAAAGATTACAGGATTTTGTTGACACTCATCGTCTTTCAGTTTGATGCATCGATACAGTAGATGACAATCAAGTTTGAAGTAGAATGATAAATATGGCAGTGGAGATTCATTTACAGGTGATACAGATGAGGATAACGAAGACAAAATCGGAAAAGCAAGATAGGCCTTCATTACCCTAAAATCAGTGTGAAAATTTACTATGGTCAGCATAAAGAACAAGATTCAGACTTTCAGCACTAATGTCAAGTCAGTGCTACTACGTAATTCAGAGACTCAGTGCGTCACCGAAAGCATCTCCAGCATGCTGTAGGCTTTTAACAGCAGCTGCCATCGCTAGCTTAATACTGAAGATCATGTGGCCAGAAAGGATTAATAACAAAGAACTCTGCCAACCAACCAACCAAGGACCAGTTGCCCAACAAATATGTAGAAGGAAATGGAGGTGGACAGGACACATGCTGAGAAGACCACTGAATGATATCACGCACAATGCAGACCCCCTAAGTAGAACCATAATAGAAAACGGTGAGTTGGATTTGTGAGGCTGACAGAGAGGAGATTGTGTGAAGGGAGGAGAATGTCTGCTTATGGGCCACCATGCAGTCACAAAGCCAGATGAAAAGGACTTCAGAGAAAAGGATGATACCTATGTGAGGTGCTGAAGCACTATCTTCCACTGAGAACCTAAGGGAATGATAATACTAACAATGATGTGTATGTAAATCTGAATTGTATTATCATAAAATCACAAAAGTACCATAAATAAGAAGAGCGATTTTTCACAAAGCAGGAATCTAAGCAATGAAATACAGAATTAATTTAAGGAAAAGTATATTAATTTCAGATATACAGAGTTATGAATAAGGATATGAATTTCGCCTTATGAATGAATTTAATGTAAAATACAAAATCACAAACATACGAATCTCGTTGTTAACATGATATTCTATGCCTACGAAAAATACGCACTTCATTTTATTTAGTACATATATATATGCCAATGTGTAGGTAGGTGTATCAATAATCCTTTCATGCATTCTTCTCAAATTCAATTTCGATCGACTTGTTGTTACACTAAGACAATTAATTTACGTAACTGACTTAACTCCATGTGTAAAGTTTCTTCGGATATACGTAATTTATTTTCTAACACAGATTTTGCGCTAGTCACTGTTTCATGTATTGTGTGAAAACCTTCACGCATTTCTTCTCGTACAGCTTCAATGCTTTGACGATTATGATCATATAAATCGTCGGAAATCTTATTCATACGCATCTCTATTTCCTGTATAGTAATAAAAAAGGTAGAGAGGAGAAAATCTATTTAGACTGGTAAATAACTAAATAATAACGCTGAAGACAAGTGAAACAAGCAAAATGACAATGGGTAAACTATGGGAGATAGAAACTTACCTCAAGATTCACCACCTCTCAAAAACAAAGGCGATGAAAACAAGATGTCTATCTCATTTGAAATTGATTCAATAACAAAACTGTCAGTAGATGAGATACTCAGACCAATCATATTCGAGTGTCGTGATAACATTTAATCTGATTTTGAAAACTGGCATGCCTTAGTAATATGTTCTAAAACTGTCAGCGCTAAGTAAGGAATGGACCATATCATAATGCCTCATTTGCTACTCCTGACGAACGATTTTCCCATCAATGAAGACTACAATGAAAACCCTGTACAGGAAATTATACCAAATTCTGAAATGTATCTATGAAATTCTTGACTACTGACTAAAACATGAGTAGTTAGTGACATCTAGGTGTAAAAAACTAATCGCTGTAATGATTAAACATTTTTCACATTAAATGAATGTATTGGGTAATGAATGAAGGCAAAATGAAAACCTGAGTCATAGCAAGATTCAAGCCAGAAGCCTTCAAATTACTAGTACGGCACTCTACTAACTCGGTTTAGAGAACATGAGCTAATTAGCTGATATAGAATGCCAAACTTGTGATTCGTAGACCTCTAGTTCGATCCCTGCCACGACACAGATCTTCATTTAACTTTCAAACACTATCCATTACATACATAACAAAGACTATGTTAAAAAGTCTTGCTATCCAGATGTATTTATTCATTAGTGTATTCCAAATACTCCTCATAATTCAGCTTCAGCTGCTAAGCTCAAGCGGAAGACAAACTGTTAACGTGACATTAGACAATTCCAAAAGACTGATAACAAGTAGAATTCAATTAGAAAATTAAAACAAACGAACAAACAGAGAAGGCGTATACCTTAAATGTTCTTAAAACTTGTTGTTTAAAATTCGATGTGTTTGTTTCGACATTTTCAACTCGTTCATACAATTCTTCATCAATCCTTTCTTCATTTGCTTTTTCTTCAACAAGTGCCTAAATCAGAAATGTGAAAAAAATGAGGTTGGGAGAAAAATAATCAGAATTTCGACAAATATACCTCGAAGCACGAAAATGCTACATGAAGTTCAAATATTATGTTATCAATGTTTCATTTCGAAATTTATTTTTATTTTGAACAATATCAGTTTGTGCTCAGATTAAAAAATAAAGTGAATTTAAGATACACGTGAATTATATATGTAACTTAAAACGAATAGTGCTCACTGGTACCATATAGTAGCTGCATACCGACTCCCTGGTAAGAATGATTTCAAACTAATATCAATCGCAAGTATATGTCGTTCGGACTAAATGAATTTAAGTAGCTTAATGTATAGAAAGTAAGAAATAAGACTGTATAGGATAATCACATCTATTCAATAGAAAAACCTTTAATAAATATTGCGATTAGATGTTTGAAATTGATGAAAACTGTAGTTCTTAAAAATTAAGACCTTCAAAGCGACATGTTGCCCAATAGTGCGATGTATTGGTTGGTGAATCTATGAAAAAGAGAAGAAAACGTAGTCAATAAAAATGTCAGGCCTTACAAAGATTCGGTCTGAAGGAAACACCACAGTTAGGTGTTTCACTTGTGAAATTCAGGTTCCTTTATTGATTCACATATAAATGACCTAGATTCGAGGTCAGAGACCGCATCACTAAGACTTAATACCCACATATTTTGACCTTAATAATTATAAAAATTCATCTGGTAAAAATTTCAGCTTTTGACAAAACCTAACTATTCTTGCTTGAAAAGTAGTTTTCAGTTATAAAATATTTCATATTCATCAATAACTACTTATCGTATTTCGCGTGTCCTTGTAGACTACATTCCTTTTCAAATAAAATAATTTATGCAGCAGGGTGTGATTTTATCCTTATAAAAGTATCCATAAGTCAGTAAGATACAATCACAGTTGATTTCATTTTCAGCCTTAAATATATTGCAATTCACCATTATACAGCTTCACGCAAGTCACGATAAAATGTGAGGCTGTAAAAGGTTCTGTGGTAAACATAGAGTAAACAGTTATAAGAGAGACTTGGAAACAGTGAAAAAAAACAACTAAGAAAACCAATAAATATAAAGACATTTCCACCATAGAATGAAGCTTTGAATCGGCGATTAGAACACACGTATTGCAGAAGGATCTGTGAATATAATGGTATTTTTATGTTATTTGGTGAATGTAACTAGCACTCCTATTTATGACTCTTTACCTGGATGTACGCGCAACCAAATAACATCAGTGTTAGCCCTCAGACATCATTGAAGTGCCCGTACTAGAAGCCAAAATGTCATCAGAAGCCGAAATTTTCGGTTAAGTCAGTCAACGGGGAAAACAAAATTTGACTTATACAAACTAATGATAATTTGATTGAAAACCAACCATTAAGGTCTGGTAAAATGCATCAGTTTATGCTGTGTCAGATACTACAGAAGGAAACCTTGAGTGATGATCTGCAACGTTGCAAGGCTAGAAAGAAGTCAGTTATTTGAACTATTTGATTTAGTCTCTGATCACTGAATTTGAGAATCCCAATGACTCCACTAAAATAAACTACATCTCTTTGTATTCCAAGTCGACAGTCGCTCACTTAATAGTTTGATGTCATTTTTCAAATTGATTACCCGTAGCTATTCATCATTCTCGAATCCTAGTTCAGATAAGATGAGTTACTGAATAAGACATAATTTCAAGCTATGGAATTTATTATAAATTATTTAAATTAATCCCAGCGTGTAAAGAAAATCGAAACAAGATTTTCCTGAACGTTTCGCTGTGTAAGCCACAGCTTCTTCGGCAGAATTTAATCTCATCGGTTTAATTATTAAGCGTGAAATTCTGAGTTCAGAATTTCTAGTAACGAGAAGACTACCAGCATTTTTACTGAGTAAATTTAGATACTTGGCCTCAAAAGTGGGCAACCGACTTTGATAAAACTATTAAAAATGAAATTCATAGCACTTTCTCATACTAGACTAAAGCTGTTATTTCATGAATTATTAAAGCCAAGACAGCGGCAATGGAGTCGAACGAAGAGAGCATTAAATTTTAAATATATTCACGAACTCCACTGTCCTTACCAAAAGCTAAAGACCATAATGTTAGTTATAGAGATAGAGCAAAAGGGATCATCTTCACTGATGTATATTAGCCACTTTAGATGAAGAATCACAAGGGCACTTACTAGTTTTCTGGCTTATCAATTACCTCCCTGTGGCTATCATTCACTAGTTACATCAAGTGAGTAAAATCCAATGGACACCGGAGAATTACCAGAAGTTATGAGATAGTTAGTGGGTTCAGATTTCGCTTTAGTGTTGGACACCTGTCAGGAAAATAAACGATTAGGATTGTAAATCGAAGTAATACAACTACCTTCCAGTTTCAAATAAGTTGTCATTATTCTCCTGAAAACACAACACTAGATACTCTTTGTATATTTTAGTATAATTCAAACACACCACGATTAAGGAATGAAGTGTAGAATCATAGGGGATGAAATCATAACAGCTAGTGAGATTTTGAATGTGTAGTCAGAATTTTATACATCCCATGGTGACATGGAGGAGATCGTGTGATAAATAGATGGGAGTTCATGGGCAGTCGTGAGGCCAACTAAAGAGGACTGAAGACTACAGGATGTAATGGAGATGTACTGTTGAGACCCTATGTTCCCCTAGGAACTTACGGGAAGACTAATAATACACCTACCTATCACTTGAGTCAATACGCAAAGTATAAAAAACAAGCGCTTATTTTGCAGTTTATTTTTATAATAGATAGTATACATCTTTAAGGATTTCAGTCTTTCAATAGAAATCACTCACTATTCCTTAAATCTAATAATGTAACATAAATTATAGTATGAATGCAAAAGGTTTTATGCAACAAAAAACTATATCAGGAAATGTCTGTCAGAAAGCAAAGCTAACTGTTTTAGTAATCCTCAGAAGAAATACCAATAATGTAACGTTGTCTAAGAGTTTCATATCATCAATAAGATTTGGTTGCGGCTTTTTGTTTTACCGAAAATGCTTAAACAACATAATACTGTGATTACTTATTTTGACAGAAGTTATATATATGTATATACCTTTTATAATAAACTAAAAGTGAAAATAACTAGGGAAAGAGATTTGAAGTATTTTTAAACGAAATAAACTGAGTAGTTAGACTTTAAAAGGTTCATTTGTTTTGAAAATAAATTTCTTAACTGTGTGACATTGTCTAGAAGGATGACTTAAAATCTTGATGCATTGGAAAGCTACTTTTTACTAGTTTCAAATCCTGTTTTCAGGACACATTCACGACCCAGTGACGAACAAAGCCCACGATCATAATTTTACGGAATAAGATGAACCAAAAGCAACTTTTAAAAGAGATATAAGGGAACTAAACAGACAGAGAAAAATAAACATTGGAAAGGTGATAGACAATTTCAAATGAATGAATACTGTCAATGCAAAGAATGTCCACTAAAGCATTATTTTCAACACTAAGTCAGTATTAAGTGATCATTAACTTTGAGAAACATCGTAAGAGCTAAACCGACCGAATTAAAGTTGACTGTAGTCTGAAGTGGTATTATGTTATGATAACGTTAACGAATATATTCCGATCAAAATAAATAATTAGTTATCATTTTATATATCCAATAAGTTAGTCTTCTCTAGGAGCGATTAATGAAAAACCATCACTTATTGATGATTGCAGACCAACCCCTGTCCTGTTGTAATCTGTTTCTAAACGCCACTCAGATAATACTGACTAAGTTTTCAATGTGAAAATTGACCCAGGAGACTGTCGATTGCAGTATACATTGAAGTGATATTTTAATGCTTCATGAAATGAAATTAGTTCTCCTGTTTGTTGGCGATTTGTGTGTGACGATATATTTATGTATATATGTATAGAGAGAGTTCTGGGCTCGAACCTCAGTGGGTGCGTATCCCTGAAGAGTCCCAGACTAGGGCGAAACAGTTGTCTTGTACTGTCTGATTTCCAGTACTTCTCGAACTGATTTCAATCTGTGGTGAAACTCGAAACAAACTGAATCCCTACAAACTAACTCTTGAAAGTATATAAACAATCAATCTTTAATTCATTTCGATGAAGGGGAAATCTGAATGAATTACGCTGGCAAAAGTAAACGTTTATTTTATCACCTTAAAATCATTTTAAATTGGTTTAATTTTTGTAGCCTATACTAGTGAAATTTTACTTCATATTTCTTTTGCAACCACAGTCAGAGGATTCCACTCTACGTCTCAAAACGTTTTCATGTAACCACGTATTCATAGTTTCACTCGAAACTCTCTCGATTACATAAGATTATTCACTATTTTTCACACATTGTTACTTTACACATACTTTGATTCGTTTTGTTACTAACTGCCGACAATTTTTGACCTTTGTTGTCAATTAACATTGTATATATCAACCCCTTGCATAACTGTACAACCTTGAAGTGAAGTTATGAAAAGAGATGTCTTAGTTGATTTGAATGTCCTTAATTATATCACATAGGAATTTCCCATACCCTGAAGAAACAGAATAGTTTATAAAGTAAAACGGATAACAAGGAAACACAAGTACGAATAAATAACAAGTGTACCTGATGCACAAAATATGATTCGCGTGCAATAGCGTGTAAAACGATGAATGGTTTATTCAGTTTTCAGTGGGAGACCGATAGACTTGCAAATACACCCAGATGATCCATTCTAAACAGGATTATTATTATCAGTTTTATCAACCCCTTGTGAAATATTTTATAACCTTCTAAGCAGTGCTCTCTAGGCGGTTCCATGATTCCCCATAAGCTCTCATTTCCTCTTTACACGATCTCTTCCGTGACACCTTCGGAAGCACAACTTATCGTTTCCGATTCGGATTCTAATCTAGGACCCGGCGCCTGACATCACTTAGCGGTTTCCTGAGCATGTAAGTGATCATTCTCCATTTTCTTCTGCATATCTGTTCGGAGACAGGTTTTTGGTTGTTTGGTTCGCAGAAATTCTTATTGCTGATCCTTTCTGATCATCTGATTTTCAGTATGCGGGAAAGGCAGGTGATGGTGCAAATCTGAGGTCTGTTGGGGATTCTTTTCGTAATGTTTGAGCCGAGTCGCAGAAATGACTGACTTGGCATTACTATTAAAAATGTTAATGTCTCCCTTAAGCTTAGTGCAGCCGGTTTCAAACTGATTTCATATTTGTAAATGACTATCTTGCTTTCCCGATTTCGCCTTTGACATCTCTATCCCTGCCGTCTGTAGCTGAAATGATGATACAAGCATTTGTAATCCACTTCAAGTATACATCAAGTGAATAATGAGATTCGCTGAATATTTGTCGTAATATCCTGGAATATTAAAAATGTCTTCCTACTTTATGAACGCTCATTCTAACTCATTTTCGAATCTTATTGTAAGGCTAATTTTAATCAAAACAAATGATTAATAAAGTCAACTGAAAAAGGTATCTGTTTACAATAAGAACTTACGATACGGTTTTCAAGGTTTGCTGTCATCGCATTCATATTCTCAGCTAAACGTGTCTCCAAACACCTTATTTCTTCATGACAATGCTGTATTGATGCTTGTATTTCATGCTGAATCTCATTTATCTTGGTTTGAAGTCGTCTTTCAACATCTGCTATCTGTCTATATAGTGTTTCTTCCACACGTTGGATAGAAGAATTAAATTTTGTATTATCCCGATCAATTTGACCGACTATTTCAGCAAACTATAGAGAAAAATTAGTGAATTATAATGGGAATGAAAGTTTTCTATGATTTTGAAGAGTCTATGCATACCCTCATGTCATCAGTACTCATTTAAGCTTGAAAAACACCAGAAACAGTATGAAGTCAAGGTATAATATCACTAGCGTTCCTATTTATTTCCTTGACAGTATGTGAAGTAGACTACCTTCGGCACAAAATATGTATTTGAAGTTTATAAGCATAGCTATGGGGAACAGTTTTATAGTCATATTTCAAGCCTATGATGCTTACTCATACTATTGTTTAGACAGAGTTAGAATGTAAAATGTAGTTTCTAAAATTTATCTAAGAAAGTGAAGAAGCCAGCAGTCGAAATTTAAATCTCCTAATTACCTAATATTTGAGTAAGTTATCTCGCCATCTACTACAAATATTAAAAAGGAGAATATTCTGTAAGAAAAGTAACAATTCAAACTCTGCAAAGGTCCAATAAAGTGGATACGCTAACTCCATATCAAAGTTGCACGATTAATGAATTTAAAGGATGTTCTAGAATACAGTTTTAGCGAGCAAGAAATACACTATTATTTACCACCTAAGACGTATAACCTGAAAATGTTAATATTCTGTGAATTTTTTCGTTCTTAAAAGCCACTAAGATATTCTTTAGTGACTTCATAGTTGTGTGTTCGGGTTCCTTACCAGTTTTGAGATTTAACTCTTAGTAACTGCCATACCTTTAATAATAATAATAACGATTTGCTTTTTTCCAAAACAGTACTTATGATGTGGTGTAAACATTTCAGCATTCCATACAATACTGGATCTAATTTACTCAGCAACTACAACAGCAACAGAAGAAATGCATTACAAGGTACATTTAACCGGAATTGATAACAGCAACTTCTGGTATTAGAAGAAGCAGTAGGGCCAAAACGTACGAATATAGAATGATAAAAATAATAATATTAGTGTTAATATCACAAAATGATAAGATAATTAGGATAGTGTCACCATAAAATTACAAATATGGGAGAATAACTGACCCATATTTATGCTAATCACACAGTAAGTCGGAAGTTTCACCTTTAACATTATATGCTCGCACGACCAAGTATAAAACTCTACGACACTCTATTTGACTGTCTTCAATGTGATAAACATAATCTTTTATAATGACTTCTAGTCCTACCAGATGAGATGCAGGGGGAGAGTTATGAATCCAGAGGGTATTGAAAGTCAGACAATATGGATTTAAATCATTTCTCACATGAGTTTAGGTGGCTGTCAACTATGACGGTAACTAGCTGGCTAAGTGGCACACAACTTACCCCACTAACATCCTTTAATACCCTTCGCTGTATGACATTACCCTTCTTAAATGGTCCAAGAAAGACTAAGTGGGAGCAATAAAGTACAACAGGTGAGATGCGAGAGTTAACGAATTGTAAAAGCAGAAGTTGAGTGATTGCTGACTGTCTTAACTTCTTAATGTAGTAGGTTAGACGAAGCATTTTCTTTGGAATAGACAGGATATGGGCAGACCGAGAAAGGTGAGAGGATATAAATATACTGAGGTGCTTGACTTATTCTCTACGTCACTGTCCTCTAAGCAACAAGAGTCGTGTGAACTAACGGGTGGGTTTACGTCACGTTTATTTCTGAAGGTGAAATTAACTGTCTGACGTTTAGAAGGATTTAACGTAAGACCATTAAGCTTAAACCACTAACTAATGTCTGACAGAAAGCTATTCGGTTTGGAACAGTCATCTCAGGAAGTAACTGGCATTGAGACAGTTAGGTCGTCAGCATATTTAACAAAGTTAGTTTCTTCCGAACAAGGTAAGTCATGTGAAAGGAAAGAAAAAAGAGTAGAAGAGAGAACAGCATCTTGAGGGATACAGGCTTCAGTAAGCAAGGAAGAGGAAGATGTACCTTTATATCCAGTAAACTGCTATCTTTTTGAGGGATAACCGGTTAACTGCCCAAGATTCAGTTGATGTTGTGGAAAGCTTATTTAACAAAAGACATCTGGGAACACAATCAAAAGCGGTTGTACAGTCGAGGAAAGAACATAAAACATATTTAGCTCCCTTGTCTTAGCAGGAAACAATATTATGGTATAGGATAACAGCAGAATCTGAAGTCTATCTACCCTGTATATATACGAACTGTTTAGGGTTAGTGAGACTTTCTAATGCATGGTGGGTGAGTGCATACGCGAAAAATACCTATCTATACAAGAAAGTAAGAACAAACAGCTCAGTGAAAAGGTCCTTTTCGGAGAATTTAGTCACTTAGCTAAGTAATCGCTAATATCTGCAGTTATTTTGTTTGTATGTGCACTTTCACTCTTGAACAAGACAAGGACAAAAAATGTATGAGGATAATATGAGATCATTCTTTATCATTTCATGTTTTCTTCTCAACGAATGAGCTCATATTGTTATGCTACATTGAATCTTTAGAAAAGTAAAATAATAATTATAGACAGATTTCTTTGGAATATTGTCTCCAGCGTGATGCAGATTGGTAGGAAGCGGCCAAAACTGAAATCAACATTTTAAATCAGCAGCTGCAGAGTTTACGTTACAGAAATGAAACAACCTCATTGGCCCACTTGCCAATCATTCAGAACAAATTATTCTCCTCTGACCTAGCCAAAATTCAATGTAGTTAGGAAGGTATAAATATGCTGTGTCTTTTCTTAACAAACTTCCATTAACAAGTCTCTTATCTTCTCCCGTTACATGTCTGCATCAAAACATTTTAAAACTATGAATGGTAATCAAAGTGGAACTGAGGCTGGGGTGAAGATTAGTAAGTTTATATTGAAGGTTGCATAATAAGAAAATACGTTCAGAAAAAATTGGGTATTAGTAAAAGAGTATGGAAAAAAGTGCTAAAATATATTATGTAACAGGTGGATAGAGTGAACAAAAGGTTAGTTAAGAAAATGATATTAATAATTACCATAACAAAATGTAAAAAGTTATAATGATGAAATACTTATAAAAGTTGAGCTTGGAATTATATCCAAGGTAGAAGAAGTGGATGCAGAAGTTTATTCTGTGTCTCCTTTCAGTAGCTATGAGGAATAATTTTCCTTAAGTTTTTTTAAAAATTAAATGTACTGATGAAAACGACGTTCCAAACTTATTTTATATATATATATATATTTTGCTACGTTTGACTGATTAAATGTATATATGGACGACAACATTGCTGAGTGAATCTGCCAAAAATACCGTCTTGGCTGAATTGTTTGCTCTTATCTCCAGATGAGTTTATGTTACAGAGTTTGTCCAATCACTACACTTGCAATGGACGTAATGTGTCTTAATACCCGACAGGTAAATTCTATTTTTTTCTGTCTCTTCATTAGTATTATTTTGTCTTTACAACGACGTTTGCTCAATTTTAGTCCTAATTTAAGTGGCATTATTCTCTACCGCACTTCTACTTAGTCTCTACCTGTAATTACCTCTCTTGCTACCCTGACCTAAGTTGAAACATTTTAGTCAATTATATTATGTCATCTAACTTACTAACTCAATCTTACTTTAGTTGCTGTCTAATTAACCTTGTTTCTATATTAGATCATTCTTGTATTACCTGATCAATTATCTAAACTTGACAAACCTCATGTACACATACACAAGAATAATTATATGTAAATGCGATTGTACAGCTATGTGAATGCATTCGCCGAAAAGAGTCTCTTCGCTGAACGTCTTCTCTTTTTTCATGTGTTACATATGTTTAAAATACTCAAACTGATAGGAAATCGCAATAGGTATGTTTGCAAAACTCTACGCCTAACGCTTGGTTTGTAAATTTTAACTTTTATGAAATCATATATAACTAGACAAGTAGTATATCGAAATAAATCTGTCAAGTACCAAAAGATAACACTGTCTGTTAAGACTGTCTTTTGACTGACTACATTTTTTAAATTGATAGCTTTGAAAAAGTTTACTTTCGTGTATATCAATAAACGTATTCTATGTGTCAACGATTATTCTTCACGTAGTGTGAGTTATATTTCGTGAAAATCGCACAATCCAACCACAAAACTTCCAAAAATATGAATGAAGGCAAACGGACTAATTTTTACCAAAAATGGAACCTATTCCTAAGCGAGATTTTACTTCATTTTTCTAAAAAACGAAACCAATTAATAATTTATATTGACTTCCCACTTAAAAAAAGTTCAACTCTTCATCATTATAATTTTATTCTGTTTAATTCATTAGCACTCCGCATGCACAACATCCAATGGCTTTATTGCACATCCTTTCTAATTGCAGCGTCGTATCCCATTACTATGGTGGTTTAATAACAAGTTGTATTTTTGTATGCTTTATAAATGAAACTATGCATTAAAAAGATTTTTTTTCTGGAGTACACATAATCGGTGCCTTTACATTTGCTACACTTTTGTCAGAAAATATTGCTTGATGCTGATGTCTGAGCAATGTAATGGACTGAAGGAGACAGTAAGTTCAAGAGTTAAACGTATGTCATTGAGTTATTGTGAAATCATGCTGGCATTTTTTGGCCAATTTATTGAAATGCCCTAATACCCACCACATAAAGTAGACGACGCCACTTCAAAAAAGGGATATGGCATTAAAATCACCCCCACACCATCATATCCTTCACCGTGATACAGTATAATTCTATAAACTTTCCAGTTGTTACTGAAACATTTGAAAAAAAACGAGATTTACTCCATTGAACAAACCAACTAAATAAATAAATATAGAATGTCAACAAGTTGATGAAAGTAGAACACCCCGTTAGAAAAAACAAAATTAAAGACGATATACCAATAATTTTCCGCATAGCAACGCTTGTAATCAACCTCAAAGCATTTAAAGAATGGTTCTGGCGGCCTGCTTAAATCAGTGAGCTACCTAAATTTTTTGTCCATCAAAATGCATAGTATTTACTTCATTTCATATCGTTTTAGTCATCCGGTTACCACTATAAATCACAATCTATGCTAGCATACATTTCTAGTTAAGTTTCTACCAACCGCTATGTTCATATTATGAACCTATTAGGACCTAGAGACCCGCTTAAATCACTGGGCTAATTAACGTCTCCAACATTCAAAACATACCTTATTTACTCCATGTTTTGGTGTTTTAATTATCCAACTAAATCTCTGAATCGCAGTTGGTACTCATGTTTATTTCAAAATAGGATTTTACCTGCAGCTTTGGATTTTTTCTGGAGAAACCAGAAGAAAAGAATAGCACGCTATTAAAACGTACTTTGGGTACACGGATATTGCTTCAGATGATATATTACGGATTACAAATTTACATATGGATTAAGTACTTTACAATGGAACATACTGAGAATTTCGCAATATGCACTAAGGCGTTTTTCAGAAAAACGTTATTTCTGTTTTTTTTCTTTTTGTTCAAAGAAATAGACTTTAATTTCCTTTTTACCTTGGTAGTAAGGAATGAGATAGACTTAAGAAAAGAAAGATTCAAAAAATCCAGATATATTTGTATTATAAAAATCCAATGATAACCCATGGTGACGTGCATATATACATATATATATATATATATACTACAAGAATCTCATTTACGAGTAGTGAAGTCAATTAAAATGGATGGATGATTGGGTAAATATAATAAATTATTCATACAGAAAAAGACACTAAGACGTAATTACTAAATTAATGAAACAGAAGTATGAAGAAATGAGAAATTATACTTCAGCGGTCCTGGAGAAATAGTATTAGGAGTGAAATGTACTGTTCCTATGGCAAATGTGGATTTAGGCATATAGAAACACAGTATGTTCATTAATATATCAGTAATGCATTCTGAATTGCTTAAAGTTACTTATTAAGTTATGCTTATTATCTAAACGAAACAGAAGAGATTATTGTTTGGAATGAAAAATAATGATATAGTAATAGAAAAAGTACGTAATATACAACTTGGATAACCACCTTCATAGTTGTCCTGAGATGTAGCATAAAACAACTACATTTACAACTAACACAGTTTTATTTGAACTCTGGAGGCCTGCTTGAATCACTGGGCTACCTGTATTTCCATCCAGCAAACCTTCTCTATTTCGTATTGTTTTAACCATTCACTTTTGTCTTTTGATTGTAAAATGTACTCCTATACATTTTTAATTGGCTTTCAACCTATTGATGTGCATTTGTCAGAGACAATGGAATAATATCGTAAGCGATTAGTCTGTGCTACAGATTGACCTGCTTAAATCATTCTTTTATTCTTTTACGTTCCCAGTAGAACGTATGACTTCAAGCTAGAGGCTTGAAGTTTCGGTAGCAGTGGTATTTATTTTTACGGTATGGGGTTGCTATCCTCATGCCCAACCTTCCCTCTCTATTAGTCTTATTAATGGGTTAGCGAGGTAAAGGAGTGCGTCAGTCGGGAATCGAACCCTGAACCACCTGTGTGGTTGGCGAACATTCTACCACCCTGCCAACGACGCACACGCTTAAATAATTGGGATACCTAATTTTCCACAGATTAAAATTCGTTAAATTTATTCAATTCTATTTCTTTATAAACATCTAATTACCTTCTGGAAAACAATCTGTACTCATATGCATTCGTGAATTTCTTACAGTATAACACTAGGCCTGTTATGAAGGAACAAATCCACCGGGGTTGGAGTATGTTTTAGATTAAGCAACATTTCTTTGTATTATATACTACAGATCACTAGTTTACTTGGAGATTCTGTACTACAAGTAGGCAGCATATGGTCCAGAGTAAAGCTACTATTATAGTAATGACTTTAATAACATACTAATAAAAAAGCTAACTAGTTAGAACCCGAAATAAGCAAACATTTCATTATCTTATACAGAGCCTAGTAATATAAGAATAGAATTCGAGCGCTGTGATAAACATTATAGTAATGATTTATTATTTAATCAACAAAGCGGATGTGACTACAGGCAGTAAGTTTTTACTGGAACGTGACTGTAAATAATATCATTACATATTATATCTTCACATCAAGTCAAAATTTAGGGATAAATCTTACACCTTACCAGTTTAATACAAATAATTGAGAAATTTTACCACATACAGCTTTTATTTGCTAGAGTTAATAAAGGAAATAGATCCAATGAACCTAACAACTATGACGATCTGTGAACTCTGTATTTTTATGATCTTAACCTTGCAGAAACACTTCTCATTACATTATAGCATACGATTTTCCGAAATTCTAGTAGATGAGTTTTCAAGTTAAAATTTGGTGGTAAATTATCATTAGAAACCAAAAACGCCGATTTTTTCTAAGAGAATGTGGAATTTAATTAGCTCATTTATGGCAGAATAAATAATACTCTCATAACAAACTATTTAGTTGAACCTTGAAATTCTTGATTTGAGAACTCTTGAATTCCAGAAATCAAATTGATGTCGTTACCACTGAGATATTCAGACTCATAAGTGATCACCTTTGAAGTTGTTATAGATACATTGACTGGTCACTAGTGAGAAATCAGTGCCATGCCTGTAGTCCCTAGTGTTGGTTCTGACTGAATACCATCAGTTAACCTTGTAATGTGGTCAATAGGCTAAGTGACTGATTGTCGTGCTGCACTGAGGAATGAGCCGGAGTACATCAGTGGTAATGTCTCCAATTGCAGCAGTGAGTGAAGTAGGTTCAAATATCCGATAAAGCGTCAGTTCTTTTGAGGCTACAGATATGGATTACTAATAAGGAGCACGAAACCTAGTTTCAAGGCTTCCTGTTGATTACCCCTAACTATCTAATATCAACAACCACCTTTGTTCTAAGGTAGATCTTGTCAATAGTTGTCTTTTATCCTTTGTTCATAGGGTCCTTATTATAATCTTTGAGGAATTAAATACGATTTTAGGCTTGTCATACTGTTGCTTACCATATTTGCTGATGAATCTGTATAGGTTAGAGATTTTACTCAAACATCTGTCAACATACAATACCACAATATCCAATTTATGAGCTGTACAAAGTAGATTACTTGAGAGTGATCATTTAAAGCTAATGAGTCAGCAACATTTAAAATCAAGTTAGAAGCCGTTCTACGATGGATTTAACTCTCAACCGTGGAACCTGACTTTTACTGTATGCTTATATCTGATGCCTTCATGCCCTAAAATAAAAGCAGTACTTTAAAGTATACCAACAAAACGTTCAGACAGATGAGACATAACCGAAATTATTTCATAAGCTGAACATATCTACAGTAGAACTTATTTCCCCTCCACACAGACCTTAACTGAATGCGGTGGTCGGACTTGCATATCACAATTACCCAACAAGCTAAGTTGACTGAAACAGATTTACATTTTAATCAAGTAATACTGTTTGGGAGTAAATAGAATTATTATTATTATCCAAGTAGTACTGTGACAGAAAAGTTAAATGAGGAGCGATTAGACAAAAAGTAGTTATCAGCGATACAGTAAGTTGCTTAAACTATGATGGTGAGCTAATCCACTACGTTCGTTCAGTTTTATTTTTAGTTATTTTACTGTCTGGTATGCAAGTCTAGTCGAGACGTCAACAGAAGGCAATGTGCATACAACGTTATCTTTGTCCAATTTTTTAATGATTCTTTTGGTTCACTTAGTTTTTCTCTTAATCAAACTCATCTATTTAAGTATAATCCGCACAAATCCCTTTCTGAAGTTTTTTTGAATTTCCTCTGATACACCTCTGTTGTGTGGTAATACTAGTATTTTGATAATCACCTTGCTTATTATCTCCATGTTCCAGTTTGAACTTCGCCTTTATATGGATGCTGTCTTTTTTTAATAGTCTTTTCAATAAAATATTCGCTTCTACCCTCTGATTGCCTTCAGTTTTTGTTAGCCTACGTATACTATTTAGAAAACTATCTATTGATCTTCTTTTCTCAGCCACTCAATGCGGCAACTGTCACTTTAAATATCTCCCTGATTGCATTATTTTAAATAGATTGCCGCCTTTAAGTTATTACGAATCATTCTCTATAGCTTACAGTACAACATAGGTAATCTCCCGAATTTAATCCCGATTTCTATAGCCAACCTTACTGAGCTAACATTTTATCCTTTTCTATTACTGGCTTACCATTCACATATCCCAACCTAAATTGTATTGACTTTATCAATGGTTTCAGTGCGTTCCCATTCGAAAAGTTCGTAAATATGTCAGTCATTTATAATTATGTAGATACTCCTTCAGGTTCACAATTAATCATTGTTTCATGTACCTTAAGTACATATGAACTATTTATCGTTTACATAACGCTTAGAGGTGTTATTTTACTCGAGATAAGTTTTCCTAATTATAGACATCATCTCCCAGTATCAACAATCAATCAGCAAGGAAAAATACTACAGCCGTAATCACTACTCTAACATGAAGTACACTTCAATGTCAATGAGGTTTCATTTCTAAGTTTCACTCTAACCAAATCTTAGCCTCTCCATTCACTAATAGCAACAGAAAATTTATCTTCATTGAGATTACTATCTTGAAAGCCAGATAACATGCTTAGTTTAACGAAAATAATCAGATTACATTCAATCAATACCAAGACACCATTATGATGTAATTTCCACTGAATCTTAAATTTTGCTTAAACCTCACTTCAGTCACCTGCACATAATCAAAGTCAATTAAGAACAAATAAATTCAATGAACATATAAATAAAATTTCAAAAAGCCTTTTTTAAACACTGCATGGTTCCGTTATTTGAAACCCAATTACCTTATGTTCGTGTAATTTAATTTGACCATTCATATCAGTAACGTCTTGTTTATGCACATCTACCAGTTGTCGTACTTCATCGGTTGTTTGATTTACTCTCTGTGATAAGGTTGTGATTGCTTGATCACAACGAGTTATCCGACCTCTATTTATACAAAAAGAAAAACACAAAGACGGAATGTTCGAAGGTAGCATGAAAGTTAACGATCTGTTCTATTGATTTTTACATTTGTCATAATAATATTAAGTATTCAGACAGACAGAACTAGGCAAAACCTTGTTTCAGACCAAGTTAAAAAAGCTGACGCTCACACATACAAGAAAAATCAACAAAAATGTCAAGATAATACAATAAATGAGTAATCTAGTAAACAATTACCTACTGTACTAGCTAGTGTTTAAATAAAGTGATAAAATTAACACACTTTTGTGCGCTACTTGCAGATCTATGCATAAAATCAAAACCCTAGAGTGTAGATTTATGGGATGTAAATACACTTAGTATAAACATATTAAGAATTTGAAAAGTAGATAAGCAAACAGGTTAGGCTTTTTGCACAAATTTATCATTTTAGTCTGACACATTTTGTATCAGCATACAAGCAAATAATAAAGTGGAAAGGAATAACATAACAATGGATAGACGAAAACGCAAAAAGGAGAGGATAATTAAGCAAAGGTCAGTGAGAGTTCACACAATGCTTAAAGCGACATTTGCCTACTCATTTGGTTCAACAGCCATCATAAACGGATGATGTTATGTTTTGTTTCCACCCACCACCCTAGCATTTCACCAACCTAATCTTACTTTAGTTTCTAGGGTGGCATGCATAACACATTTCTCAGATGTTTGAATTGGTAAAAATCCACAACGTCGGTGACTGGCTTATCTTTGTCACCTAACACTACGTCTTATCTCAGAATTATTTAATACACTGTTGCGCATCACGACACCAATTCTAAGAAATGTAACTGTGGTTGACATCTGTAGTCATCTCATATCATCTGCTTTTGGTGACGGTTAAACAACTCTGAATAACAACAAAGCAGACTGTTACAAGTACACTCGGAGTATTGAATACTACGTTAAAGTATTAATTTAGGAAGCGGTATAAAATGATCCTTAGAAGCACTATCTTACTAAATTGAAACTGTCTAAAAGCTATTTCAAATTTCCATTTCTAGTTTTAGTTATTTGGCTAGAAACTAACTGTATATTACCAAATTAAACTGTTTCAGTTACCCAAAGTCAGAATGGTTGGGGAATTTTTACAAGTGAAAGTTTAAGATACTTTCTTTCAAGTACATATAACTTTAAAATACTAGTTGCACAGTTTCAAAAGTTTAAAGTACAATAATGAAAGGTTGTTAACTAAAAGAAATCATAATGGAAGTGTTTGATGAATGTAAGACTCTATGAACAATCAGTTTAACGTTTCACTGAGAAAGTGATATCTTAAATCCTAACATTGTAATACAAAAACCAACAACAAGAGACGTCATACACAACCATAACTTAACAAGATACTTTTAAGGAAGTTAATGAAAGCCTCACAGTTATACCACCCAGCTCAGATTAAACAACCACACCAACATCATCCACCTGAGTTTCAAATCATATATATATATATGAGTCGACTGTACACACTGCCAATCTGAATTTTAGAACGCAAAGCAGCGTCCAAACCGCCTACCACATTATCTTCAAGTTTGAATTCTATACTTACAAGTCACAGCCAAACAGGAAATGATATTCTAAAACCCAAAATTTTGCAATCATTTGAATTCCAAACTAATCAACATATTTTTTTATAGGTACGGTTAAACTGTGGAAGGGATCGATGCAAAACCCTAAGACCTCAAACATGACAAGCATGGGCTTCAATTTTTGAGATGGTATGAGCTTCTTGAAATTTGTAGATTCATTGTACTAATGAGAGAAAATAAGCACAAAACAGGAGTTTCTTTGATAGGACAATATGGTCATTTTTACATCCTGGTATCTCGATGATAGCAACGTTCAATGACTTCCACCGAAATTAGTTTATACTTTCTGTGTTTATTTCACTCTAAGATTGGTTTCTTTTCCTTTTTATGAAAACGAAAAATGAGGCCAGTTTTCCATCTATTTAGAATACTTATTCATAGCTAGTATAACTTCATCTAATAATGCCTTCTAGCTCACCGCCTACTTTAATTAGTCAGAATTATGATTAGGTACAGTTAATGTCAGGGGATGCCAGGTAGTCAACCGAACACCTTTGTTTTCAGTTTTATACCTATAAATATTTATCTTCTAAGTCTCTCTGAAATCCTAAAGAGGATGATGCTCGGACAGAGATTCAAACTCGTGTCACTTAACACCACACTTAGAGATGAAGTAAGTAGCTCTTTTATGTATTTATTTATTTGTCAATATATGCGCAATAATGCTACTTTCAATGATTTCTCTAATCGTTATTACCACAGATGTTTGCATCCCATATCCTGTGTTGAATGGTATAATATGGCGAGCAATATTGAGATTATGCGCAGAATATTAGGTAAGGACGACATGTCAATGGATGAAGTTATGAAACTGCAGCAGCTGAAAATTCTATAAGACATGTTACGGATGTCAAGCCATAGCCTTTCTCTTTGAGCAGTAACATAGCATCGGGTTTTAAAAGATTTAAGGGTTGTCAGACCAGAACCTGTCACTAGTTCATGAAGTTCTTGATTGTTGCTTTGAGTCAAATAGGGAGGTGGAAACTTCCTGGTTGGAGTCCTCGAGATGCTAAGAATCAGTGGATGTAGCCTATTGGGTATACGCATCAAAATCGTTCTCAGTGGTGCAGATGCATTCAATCTTTATGAACTTCTGTATCCATTATACCATTCTGCTTTTTCATGTCACCATTCTTTCTCACTCATGTTTCTCGAAGATACACCATATTCATTATGAAGGGGATGGGATAAATAGTATTCCCGTTTCAGATGAAACAATTCATCTAAATTCAAGTGATTATGTAATGACAACGCATCTAAAAGCTAGACAAGTATCTGTCAGTGAATTTTAACAGTTGATTCAGCGAAGAGACTCTTTTCGACGAATTTATCATCAAGCTGTACAATCGTATATATGTGGTTTTATTGAGAAGTTATATCCGGTGAGGGAATTAGGTCAAAGATGTGAATACATGAAATAATAATAATATGAAATGCAATTAAAACTAAAATGTTTGTGATTATAATGGTAGTTAAATGTCAAGTGGCAAAGCAAATTAATGTCATATATAGAATAATTCATAGAATGGATAGAACTTGAAAAAGGTGTGCAATTATAAGATTAGTAGACAAATCGAATAAAATGAAAACGTTACGTAATATTGTGTGAAATTTAATAGCATAGAATTTAATGTTGTAAAAAGGAATTGATTTAGGATGACAAGTGGAACAAGTGAAATAATACCGGGGACAATTAAAAGTGAGAGTAGTAATAGTAACAATTGACGTAATAAAGAAGAGTATACAAATTGAATAGACAAAATGAAAAATGAGAAATTGGTAGAGCTAAAATATGATTGGGGATTACCATACTTTAGCATAGAGAGATTAAGACCATGAAAGTTGGAGGAGTTGAACGAACTTTTTCTGTACACAGAGATCTGGCTTTTCTGTTTCAATAGTCAAAGCTTCAGCAATACAGATGAGTCGGGTACGTAGGGATTTGGGTAAATTACTCTTTGCCTTGTAGATGACTTTGAAGGTGGAGGCTATAGAGATAGGGTTATCATTATCGACCAGATGTTCAATGACCGCGCTTCTTATTGCTCCACTTCCACCTTTTCGTAACCATGCAGGATAGTGTTCTTGCACCCTCTTGGACAAAACTCGAGTCGAACAACCGATATACCTAGCTCCACACGAGCAGGTGAATTGATAAACACCCAGAGAATTGATCAACAGTGGGGTCTTGTCCTTCAGGTTATTGAACAATAATGGTCGACTAGTAAAGGCTATTCTCAGAGATGCAGCAGGGAATGTTCTTTTCAGGGACTGTGATATCCTTCGTTTCATGATATCGAAAGCTAAGTCTACTAATCTTATAATTGCACACCTTTTTCAAGTTCTATCCATTCTATGAATTATTCTATATATGACATTAATTTGCTTTGCCACTTGACATTTAACTACCATTATAATCACAAACATTTTAGTTTTAATTGCATTTCATATTATTATTATTTCATGTATTCACATCTTTGACCTAATTCCCTCACCGGATATAACTTCTCAATAAAACCACATATATACGATTGTACAGCTTGATGATAAATTCGTCGAAAAGAGTCTCTTCGCTGAATCATTTGTTTTAATTTTCTATATGTTACAATGGGAATTTTTCATGAATTTTAACAGTGACAGTAATTCAATCTAACAATATTTAGAGCAATAAAACTACAACAATTATTCCTTTTCTCCATCCTTAGATTATTTCGATTTAAAATTCACTATTTAGGGTATGAATGCTTGTCTAGTCAAAAGTACTAGAACTTTATAAACACGTGAATCACAATGGAAAAATGTATTGATCCACTTCATAGTATGCCTTGCTTCGTATGCACTTAAAATCAAAAAGACAAAGTGGAAGTAGTTGTCTGTACTTACCTTACATCTGTCAAACTTGTAAGGTGATGATTTTCTAAATTCTTTAAATTCACAGCTGCATCTTTTACTGTAGACCATTTATCCCGAACATTCTCCTCAAAGCTCTGTAATTTCAAATATACACAAAACTCGATAAAAAAGGTGAGGAGGTTCTGTTGTAGTAGTTATTAAAATTTTCAAACGTGCAGCATATGTTTTAGAAAATATGCACGAAATACTGTAAGAATTTCAGTGACTGTTATCGCTTGAAATTAACATTATCTAGGGAACCAGTGTACCCAAAGAAACAATATAAAGTAGCGTTCTTTCTTGTTATTAAGTTTTCATCAGTGTGCACCAGCAATTTCACTTTGGAACCACATCCACAATTATCAAGTTGTGCAGTAAGGAGGTAAATAATTTGCACTTGAATTAGTAGTGAGAGGCTCATTCTTATGAACTAATGCCAATTAACAATATGGCCTGTATGTTATACCACGTATTTTAAGTGTATAACCATCAAGTTCTTAATATCCTACAAAGCTTACATTTGGACTTCACCAAATTCTAGTAGGATACAATTCTTGATAAAGCCAGAAGAAATGAGTAGTCACCAATAGCAATCAGAATATAAGGCGAATGGGTATTATTTTGAATTCCGCTCAAAACTAGTGGCGAACTTTTTCGGTAATCATAAGTATATTCTCATGAATAGTCATAACCTAGGAGTAGATTGTAATCTCCTGAAGTTCACTACTCATCGGTACACCAGCTGATGTCAACTAGTTACAAGCCATTGGGGGACTATTGATTTTTAAAAACACAATCACCGAAACGTTTGTTTGTGTAAATGAAAATAAGAATCATTCAACCTTGGAGAATATATCAAAAGATGTCAGCAGTTTTACCTGAAAATTTTAGTTTGAACAAAACTAGGAAGTGACATTACGGTAGAGAAAGATACAAAAGTATGCAGTCACGAATCTTCAGTCTAATACAGAAAGAGGCTTGAAAAAGTTTGGGTAGTGGGAAGTTTCAAAAGATTTAAAAATAGATTTGTAACAAAGCCGTTGAGTAAGACGAGCCAGATAATAAACGTGTTATATCTGAGGAACAAAACTTAATATCTAATAAGCAATGATGAACAACTACAAGCACCTCAGACAGTGAAATATACAGTCATACTGGCCACAATATTTATTAAATTGTAAATGAAATGATAGTTTGTAGTGAAATCTTATTTGCAACAAGAATATTAAATGTACGCATATGAAAAAATAAAATCTGTCGGCATAACTCATGAAATAACAAGGCATAAAACTGATCAATGTAGTATCCAATGAGATTTTCTACATCTTATCTGATACACAAGCATCTAACTGATCACAGTAATTTGAGGAATATCGACAGAAGTTCAACATTGTAAATAATACCGCTAATGTGTCAGTGACCAGATAACACAGATGGCAATAAGAATAATATAGACAATATGACAATGTATAAATAACCAGATGAGGTCGAAATCTTGATTAATCAGAAGTACAATACAAAACACCAACTCAATAGATAGTCAAAAGTTAGATAAATATGATAAATTTGTGAGGGGAGTGAAGAATAAGAAACACTTCAAACGTTTACTAAACTGACTTCGGTCAAGGGAGAAACAGAGGTAGAACAAACAGAAGTACTGGAGTTATTTTCTTGAATTTCCCTGACTTCGGCTATGTCTAAAAGACAAGTTCGAATTAAATTCATAAAAATACCGTAAGTAACCTTGGACTGTATTTTGTGTTCACTTGGTGACTGGTCTCGACTAAATAAGAAAAAATTCAGCTTCTCAGTAATTTTGATGAACACTTTCCGAAACATGGAGGAACATATTCACTACTGAGTCTGTTTCGTTATCATGTTATTCGCTCTGTATGACTTTTCCCACATAAGCGGATAAACTTCTAAGTGTACCTATAAATGACGCACCCAGCGAATCCATCTTTCACTTTAGCAACGATAATCGGTTGGCTACAAATTAATGAACAATCAGTGGCGGAATTATATATTCTTTTTATCATCTGGGTAGTCTTCGGTATTGTCACACTACTTAAGTTGGCTGGCATACATCATTGTTAGTCATGTCGCCAGTAAATTGTTGTTTTCTGAACTCTGCGAAACAGTGAAAAGTTTCAGTCTTGTTCACTCGCTTTGTATCACTTAATTAGCTTCTCGTAGACGTAATGCGATTTGTCTTCCAGATAATCAATGGAACATATCTTTCATATGGGACGTTTGAGTAGATTGAGTATTTATAGTGCCCTATAGACGCAACCAATTTGTGTTCATATCTTCTGAGGCAACCACCTAATTTGCTTTTTAACAGAACATCTGAAAACCGTGGTTTTGTTTTGATATTCTATTTCACAAGTGACAGTAAGTGTTGGATGTATCTTATTACATTTGTTCAGTAGCTCGTATCTGTTTGGGTTCTGATGAAGAATAAATGAAGCATCATAAGTGTACTGGAGACAAAAGTCCAGTTCATAAGAGATATGTTTCAGATGACAATTTTCAGACTGCGTCAATAGACGATTTATCAACAGTAAGCTTAATGAAGAGCGCAGAATGATTCCATAGACTCAGCTGCCTCAAATGTTTCTGAAAGTGAGATGGACATCCATAATACATTCAGGGATTTCTTGAGGGCAAACAGTGGATTCCAGTACCAATCTGATTTTATAAAACTTCCGACACACAAATCCTACTGTGTCCATTAGCAATAGACTAGTGAATGACAAAAGGAAAGAATCCGAAACTATGATGTAAATATGCATTCGAAGGAATTTTCGATTAATGCGATGCTGATATTAACTTAAAAGTGTGTGGCATCCTTAGATATGCAGCAAACAGAATAAGATATTTCCTGTGCCAACAATTGCACCAAAGAGTAAACATTCCACGTTTATAATTTAATCGTTCAGTTCACATGCAAATGTGCTAAAAAAATTTTTGATAACTCTAAAATGTTCCAGCAAGAGGAAATTAACCAGAATGCACGCAACAGAACTGACAAAAAAAAATATAAAACGGGATGTACGTTTACAAAGGAATCCCGTAGAACATGTGATATAAGCTTATAAAGTTAACTAACTTCACGGCCAGTCTTAGTCATATATTTATTGTTGAAGTAAATATAATATGATTTAAAGTATGCATTCAGAGACAGCAGGGAAAGACAAAAGACTTAAAAGAATGTGTACACTGAATACATTAAGTGACAGAGCACTCGCTGTCAATCGAAGAAAAGCGAGATTACTTCGAATAACTGTGAAGCATATTTCTCAAAATTATGACTGCACAGATTTCTCAAAACAAATTGAACTTACACGAACTTCTTGATCAATTTTCTCGACACTTTGGAGCAACAATTTTATTTCATTAATCAACAAGTCCTTCTGAGACTTTTGCTCATGTTCTATAAAGTTTGACTTTTTCAGATGTTCGATCATATCAGCTTTCAGAAGTGAGATTTTTTCAAGGATTCCGACTGTAATAGACTCCTGTACACCTAATCTCCACTCTACTAGGCTCTGTCGATCGCATTTCGGTATTTCTTTTATGTAATCGATTGGTTGATGAGGATAAGATACAAGAGACGCTTTGGAAGTTGGTATATGCGGAAGTTCAGTTCGGTTGTGTGCCATACCATAAATTCGTTTTCGCTTATCAGATGTCGCGTACCATGCTTACACAATCAAATATGTGCTTCGTGACCATAGCAAAACGTGATGAAAAAAATTCCAGTTAGATGAGCAAAACAAACGACACATAGCCGTGTCACTTTAGGAATTCCATTGAAATAAGTGTGTCTTTCTTAAACCTAAGTCTAAAAATTAGGATAATGCGTTGAAATCGCATATATTTTCTGCATAATGTGACACTGAAATGGATCTGAAGGACATGTTTGTGAATCCAGATGAGCACCAGGCATTTCATCTTATTTGATCAACTTGGTTATCTCTGCTGATAGAAACAAATGGATACAGATCTCTGTCAATTGTGGTCTGGAGGTACACAGGTGTGTAAGGATAACTGAGAGAGGCCAGAAAGCTAGGCGAGGTTATGCGTCACACATTAGACCATTCGGATATTTAAAATAGTTTAATCAAGTGAAATCCTCAACTTTGTAGTTCTAGGCTGAGTATATAGCAGATCACTAGGCTCATTGAAGCAGCACTATCAAGCGAAAAACCCTAGAGGCTAAAGTCATTAGTACAGACAGTTAAAAACATTAAAGAATAAATACTGGATGAAAATTGGCATGAGATTAGTTAGTAGTTATGTTTAATCACAAGTTCGAGGGGGTTAATCAGTCATATTGCTTATCTTATTATCTGATCAATATAAGAAAGACAAGATCCTCAGGTGAATGCCACTACCAACAGGCTTGCTTCTTAGGCAAACAATCGGTTAACACCTAACATCACGTTTGAGTGTACAGACTACTTTCTATGACAGCAGAATTGACGAAGAAAGACGTCAAACATGTGGTTGTTTAAAAGCATTTTTATGTAAATGGACTGAGAAATTTCAGTAGTGTACGGATATTATACAATCTAATCACTACTGCTGTATCACTTGTGAAGGTGATATATATACTTTTGGTAGTGATATAGCCGTATTTTTTTCTCTTACGGCGTAGATATGGGCCATGTCATTGTGCAAAAGAAGCGAGCTGAATATAAACACAAGAATTAATTTCTTAGCTAGGCTCCGAATCTGACCGTCTTGTAATAATAATGCCGTTTCACCTCGATTTCAGGCTTCATGTTCTTCTCCTTGTGGTCCAATGTCTATGTGACTGTTGGTTGATCAAATGTGCTATTTCAGGTTTTACAGCTGTATTTGTTTCCTAAGCTAAGGATGCCACACACTTTTAAGTTAATATCAGCATCGCATTAATCGAAAATTCCTTCGAATGCATATTTACATCATAGTTTCGGATTCTTTCCTTTTGTCATTCACTAGTCTATTGCTAATGGACACAGTAGGATTTGTGTGTCGGAAGTTTTATAAAATCAGATTGGTACTGGAATCCACTGTTTGCCCTCAAGAAATCCCTGAATGTATTATGGATGTCCATCTCACTTTCAGAAACATTTGAGGCAGCTGAGTCTATGGAATCATTCTGCGCTCTTCATTAAGCTTACTGTTGATAAATCGTCTATTGACGCAGTCTGAAAATTGTCATCTGAAACATATCTCTTATGAACTGGACTTTTGTCTCCAGTACACTTATGATGCTTCATTTATTCTTCATCAGAACCCAAACAGATACGAGCTACTGAACAAATGTAATAAGATACATCCAACACTTACTGTCACTTGTGAAATAGAATATCAAAACAAAACCACGGTTGTTCAATTTAGTTTTACTATTGTTTCATATTACCTAATGCATATTTTTTGGACTATAATCGACTGACAATCTAACTGCGAATAGCTTTTAGAATTCTGATTCAAATTATTCGATGTTACCCTTTTTAGAAACTACTAACGTTTTCAATAACGGTTATTCTGTCATTATAATATGACTGTAGAATTTCGTGATGATATTATCGAAAGATTATTCCTTATATATTAATCCTTTATTCGTATAGACAATTATGGAAGATATATATGTATTTATTCCTGTTTATGCAGGAGCATACCAATTGTACAGGCATGGATAAGTTATTACATAAATTACACATATTTCGATGTATGTTGAATTTACAGTTTGTTTGTTCTTTCTGACATTAGAGTCAGTCGGAACAGTTTGTCGGTGTAACACATAAAGGGATATAGAAATATTGTCTTTGCATTAACAAAAAACCCAGATATCAGATGAATGTAATACAAATATCTGGGAAAAATAAAGCTTGAAGTCAATTCTCCTATATAACTTCGCTGTGAACAGCATCCTCGAGTTAAAGTTTATTGATGTATTATTTTGAGGTCAGTGATGTATTTATTCCATTTTTTTCAGCAGTCTAATCGTAGTTTTATAATAGGTAAGAAATTTGATCGTGGATGCGAAAACTAGATAAGGTCATGTTGGATTGTTTTACTGCATCAGATGGGGCCGAGGTCGATTCTAGAACTATCCATTGGCGCCATTTGTGGCAGCATGGCAGACTGTACATGTAAGTTGAGTAATACATTGAAAACTGTTTGGAAACCAGTTGCTTCTTTATTTCAGATCAATAATACTCCTTGTACAGAATGTTGGCCGGCGTCTTCAAATGGTAGCATCGGATCGTTCATGGAATTTGAGTTTGAATTTACTTAAATGGTCATTTCATTTTAAACGTAGGGTTGTTCGACCTCGACCAGGAGGTATATAGAAGTGCAGGCTCAGCACCAGAATACCAGAAAGAGAAAGTATGTGAACATGGAAGGAACATTAATATTTTATGTATATATAAATGTTTATAAATGTATATCATTGTATAGTAAACACTACCTATAATCTAGTTGTTTTTTCATGTATTTTTGTGAAGTCTTAAAGTTTATTTAGTGTCATAATATTTAGTAATGAGTCTAGGCGTTATAGTGTTCTAATAGCTCATGCGTTTTAGAAATAAGTGGTGCGGTGTGATTTGCATAGTCATTGGGATGAAACAGTTTATATAGCAAGCGTTTGAAGGTTATAATAGAGTGACAGGTCCTTATTTCTAGGGGTAAACTGTTCCAGATCTTGGAATACATGACTATGACAGTTTTTCCTAGATACTGTGCACGTTTGGTTACGAAGATTGTAAGAGCCATCCGGTGAGAACTGTATCTCCCTACTGTCTGAGAATGATATTTTCATGCAAGATTTTAAAGAAGAATGTCAGGTTAATGCTCAGTCGTCTCATCCAGAGTGGGTCGATACCTAGAGTTATACACCTTGATAAGTAGTCCTTTTCGCAGTCAAATCCTAGTAGTTTAGACGTGAAGTATCGTTGGACACTTTCTATTTTAAGTTTGTCACTTATGCGAGTGCTGCTGAGAATAAATGGACAATATTCAAGTAGTGGTATGACACAAGTTTTGTATAGTAATAGTTTCGCTTCGTAGCTGTGGAAATTCCTGAGTATGCATCCTAAGAGCATCCTCGATTTACGCGTCTGTGTCGCCACTTGCTCAGAAAATGTCAAGTCACTAGAGTACCTGAGTCCTAGGTCAACACCACTTTGGAGTTTAGGCAAATCAAGAGATTCATGAACCAGTTTAATATTTATTGAGGGTGCACCGAAACAGATCCAACCACATTTTTTAAGGTTGAATTTTAGGTTCCATGTGGAGGACCATGCAGTTACTCTATCTAGTTCTTCCTGAACAGCTTTCTGAAAGTATCCTAGGTCATCACAGTGGAATGTGTAAGCTACTTTAAGATCATCTGCAAAGATGAATGGTTTGCCAAGTGAGAAACAGCTGCATATGTCGTTGACATATAGAGTGAATATGAGGGGGCCTAAGACGCTACCTTGAACTACTCCAGAAGTGACTGGACTAGGTTTAGAGTTTACAGACCCCAGTCTAACTACTTGGGACCTATTGTTACGGAATGATTCAATCCATCCTAGTAATGGGTTACGTATTCCTAAGGAGTTCAGCTTATTTATTAGAAGCAAATGGCCAACGCGGTCAAAGGCTTTGGATATGTCGAAGTAGATGACTAGTACTAGTTGTTGTTACTAGTTACATAGTTAAAGAAGTCAAGGTGACAGGTCATGCATGATCTGGATTTTAGGAATCCATGTTTGTTGGGATTTGGAATAATGCAGCTGAGCATATGTTTGAGAATATCATCTTCAGCTATTCTTTCCATAATTCTAGATGCTTTGGGTGTAATATTGATTGGCCTATAGTTGTTGACTTCAGTTTTTGATCCGGATTTCTGTTTGGGTACTTTAAATGTGGTTTTCCATTTATCTGGATAGGTGTGACTTTGTAAAAATCTTAAGTAATTAAACGGAAATGTCAGAACCACCGTGTTTATGAAGATACGATGGTATGCGGTCAATACCAGCACTACTAGAGCTTTTAAGAGTATTAACGGCTTGGTTAATATTAGAATAAGTGAAATGAACTGTACTGATTTGTTTCAGCGTTGAAGAAGAAGGAAGTTCCGTTGTAGATTGTAAACCGAAAAGTGGACTTGTGGGCTTAAGGTAGTTAGCTGCAAACGTCTCGTTAAACAGTTCACGCATGTCTGTATGGTTTGCCCTTGTTTATAAGGAAAGAAATTTTGTGGCTTTGGCGATTCATTCGTTTATTTAGGATTTCTGTGAGAGCACCTACTCTGGTGGTGCTGGCTAGTGCGGTGCATTCTTCATTTCTCATACGCAAGTTATGAGCTTGCGAGATGGAGCTAAGAGTATTAAGTATTGAACCTAGTGTACTAAAGTCGTGTCGTCTGAAATAACTTGTTGACAGTCTCTCGTCACTCAACATCAACAACACAATTCAGATTTTCAATACAAACGTCAAGTCAGTCAGTTCTTCTATACGGAACAGAAACTTGGTGGGTCACAAAGAATATTTCCAACAGCCTGTTGCAGACCTTTATCAACAGCTGTCTTCGTTCTATTTACTGAAGATCAGATGGCCGGAAAGAATCACCAACAAGAAACTATGGGAACAAACAAAACAAGAACCAATCGCCCGACAAATATGCAGGAGAAAGTGGAGATGTATTGGACACTCGCTGAGGAGGCCGTTGGGTGACATCGAGCGTCAAGCCC